TCACCCAAAACATGCCATGGCATGGTATTTGGAAGTAGTTTGGGGGCAATAATTAAAGAACTTGAGTCATTGACACTTTTCCTTTATTTATTTTATTATTAATAAACATATACATTTAAATACACATTTTTTAGTCGTTACAAAACATCTATTAGCATGTCCATTTATATATTTATATATTTTGTTGCTGTGGATCAAAGGTTGAGCTTCCAAAATAAAATTTCATGAATTTTAATGATACATAAGCACATTGCGTAATGTGCTTAATGTTTAATGTGCTTAATGCTTAATTGCTTAATCTGAAAGCAAATTAGTGCATTTTCATTCAGATTTTTATTTTCTGAGAAATAATTTCCAGAAATAATTAGTATACAGTGGAACCTCGAGAAACGACTTACCTGGAATACTCTGAAGTATCATTTACTGTACGTAGGTCCAACAGCCTTTCTGTAGAATGCGCTTCCTTGTAGTTTCCCTTCCACTTTTTCCTTTCACTCTCTGTATGTTGTTGTTGTTGTTGTTGACTGTTGGCATAGCTGTGCTCTGCTGGATCTGAGGTGCTCTGCATCTACTGCAGCATGACGGTGACTCTGCAGGATCAGCCTGAACTGTGCACGTGGTGACAATGTGGACAAGGTCATTGATATCTGTGCCTGTGTAGGTGGACAGAAGATGGAGGTGATGAATCTGTGAGTACGTTCTCAACAGCAGCCTGTACTCTGCGTCACACTAATGCGTGTGCTTCAGAGGTTAGTGCTGTCACTCTTTATGTTACTGTGCAGCAGCACACTGTCCACTAGGACTCAAGACATTGTGGTGGCGCTTTACAATAGGCAGAGTAACTGATATATATCTGCTCAAAAGGTTTCAGCCACAGTATCCTCTTGGCCCAGGATACATGAGACTGTCCATATATATTTATGTTTATCTTGGTGAGGGAACTTAAATGCATGCTGTGTGTTTATATAGGTTAGCAGCAGTAGTAACAGCATCTCTGTCAGCCTGAGTCACCTCTGCTGCTGCTGCCAATGCTGGAAAATGTTTTAAGCTGTTTTAAGCTTGACGTCTGTTAGCTCAGTTAAGACAGAGTTGGCATGTTCAGCAGCAGTGACTCATAAGACAAGTACAAAGCTGTGGTGCTTCGGTGTCATATTTTCTTTTTAAATACGGAACAGTCCCATATACAGTATAAAGTTAACACAGAGGCTTAAAAGAGCACGCTGTTCTACCTTAACACTCACCTCCACGTTGGGACGGTGTGTTTAAGTTTGGTACATCAGCAGATCGTCCTGGTCCTATTTCATCGATTTTTGACCTGTGAATAGGCAGTGGAAAAAATACAATGTGTTTTCAAAGTCAATGAATAATCAGATTAAATAAGCATGACTTCCATATTGATTGTGATTATGATTTTTCAATCAGAGTTCTTTTACAATATGAAATCAACATTGTTTTGTCATAACTATGTTTTGCAATTTAGTGGATAGATGGATAGATGGATAGATGGATAGATATAACTTTATTTCTCCTTTGGGAGTTCCCTTCAGGAAATGAAGGCTCCAGCAGCATTACAGCACCTGTACAACAAGAATAACACAGGAGTAGAATCATCACAATACAAACAAGAGTGGCAGCACAATATCAAAGAATAGGGAAAACCCTAAACAGTGGATGTTAGTGGATATTAGTAACTAGTATTGGTATATATATACAGTGGATTATATAAGTGGATAGCTTGGATTTTTAGGTTAGATTATTGTTGTTGTTGGGTTAGATTACTATTGTTGATTTTATATTTATATATATATATATTAGGGACATCCGATATTAACTTTTTGCCGATATCCGATATTGTCCATACACTTAATTTCAGATTCCGATATCAACCGATATAGGCCTCGTAATATTTATTTATTTATCTGTACAAACACTGTATGAGTATGAGATTAATTAAATGAGCTGCAGTGCTGCCATCTAATGACTTTCACTTTAATTTACAGTTGTTTATCTCCAAAACTATTTTTAGGGCACACATCATTTGTCGAAACCCAGGCATTGCGTTATCAGGTTTTCATTATCGGTGGAAAAACCGTTAAAGATTCCTATAGATATTACATAAGATGCTAATATCAGGCCGATAATATCGGGCAGGCGATTTTCTTTTGTCAGTTTTTATTGCATTCTTGTAGACTGTTGTAGACTGTTCTTATAGACTGTTTTCATACATTTTGATGTTAGCTATTTGTGGGGAATTGTTTGCAAATGTTTGGATTTTTTTTAGCCCTGCAGTAGATTTTTTTTAACCTTTTAAGTGCACGAACCAACTCAATTAAGTAACAGAACATTTGACAATCCCTAAAGACAAAAATGTGCAAACACCGTAGGAACAGTGAGGGACGGAGTGCCTTTCACAAGAGAAGGCGCAGCGTCTCCTCTGCAGAGGACAGGCTGGTGCACATTTGCACGTGTGTTCGTTCATAAATAATTATGTCCGTAGCGCTGTGTCCAGAGGACCCTCCTCTATACTGAGACTTCCTTCCTCACATCTCCACCTATACACGTGCTGCTGTCTCCTCCTCCCTCATCTCTCTGATCTTATTGGCTTCCTTCTTCTTAATACACATCGTCATCGTACACACACACACACACACATTCTCTCTGCCAGTTCTGCAGTGTGTTTCTCTCCTGTCAGCTCAGAAGCTGCTGGATGCTATGATGTAACAGGCCTAATCCAGTATGACGGTCTCTGCTGTCAGGTCTTTTTTTTTTTCTTTGCGACAGAGGGTGCAGGAGAAACGCATGATGCTTGTCGCGTAAAAATACAAGTCAACAAATGTTGTACATGGCTGAGACGTGTTTTTCGAAATCAAAGTTTTTCCTGTTTGAGATATTTATTGTAAATGTATATGATATACTTGTTTATTATTAAGATTAGATGAATATGTAATTGCTGAAACTACGACAGGGGTTTTAATGAAGCTGTTCTTTTTGTCCCCTGTTTTGTCTGAAGGCTTTAGGCTGTGGCCTGTCATCAAGAGACAGAGAGGGACAGTGACTACGGAGGAGGAAACTCTCGAGGCTGTGCCTGAGACCGTCTTGCCACATGTCTGCTCCTGCTCCGGCCAATCGAAGGACTACATCGGGCTCTCGTCGGTAGGTGGTCTAACTGAAATTTAATTTTTAACCAAAGAAAATGCCGTTTTCTGACCTGACACATCCTGACAGGTCCAGAGAGTGTCAACAATCTGTGTTTTGCCTTCTATCCTATTGTTTACAATGTTGCGATATTTACGGGGAAGATGTTTTAAAAATAGACTATTGATTGCAACCTGATCACACTTTATTGACTTTATATTGATGTGTTTTCTCCTACAGCTTCTGTACTTCCCCTGCCTGTTTACTGGACATGTGCTAACTCACACAAATGAACAGTAGAGAGTTTTGCAATGGGTCGATTTGGAGCAGTGATGACTTTTCCACTGTCCATTAAAACCATTTAGACTCAGACATTAGTGCGAGCCCTGAGTGAAGTCAGTGTTCCAACAACACTAGCTACGTCAGGGGTGCCCAGGAAGTAGACCGGGCTCTACCAGTAGATCGCAAAAGAGTGCTGGTAGATCATGAGCAATTACAAAAAAAATACAATGTAAATATAATTCTATAGTGTATCGTAGTGAGAATTAACTTATATTTGTAATACAGCTAAACGCATTTAATCAGTACACCAAGATAAGTGTAGTGTTAGTGTCCGTTGATGATGACGGTTGACCCAAACAGCACCATAACTCACTGTACTGCAACTGGCCAAATCTACCCATGATAAATTGATGTTTAATGATTTCTAACTACTTTATTGTCATAGAAATATAAATGCAGCTGTTTTTCTGCTCAAACAGGGGAAGCAGAAGTGTTTCGTGTTTTTTTGTTTTTCAGGAAGTTGTGTATGTATGAGGCATGCAGTTGATGAGCCACAGGAGATGTAAAGCTGTGGCTAAGTTGAGTTTGACTTGATGTAAAAATGGTTTAACAAAGAGAGATGCGCAGTCAGTGAGACAGATGGGTTCAAGGCAGGGTTGTAGATACTTACAGCCCATGTATGTCTGACAGATGAGGTCAGGCATGTGGTTCCATGGATGATGATGTTCTGAGGTGACATTGTGGTTTTCGGATAGAAGAAGAATTGAAGGCTGGAAAAGAGACCTGGGAAGCTGGAGGTCTTCAACTGGGGAAACAAAACAGAATCTAGATGTGTTTTAGGCTGGTGGAAAGATGCAAGAGCAAGAAGGTTGATGAGTTTTAACAGAAGGCAGTGCAGGAGGTGGCAGACCTGGAAATGTCTTAATGAGTACAGAAGTTAGTAACTGGCCTGGGTTAATCTCTTAAATATGTTGAGTTTATTTCCTCGGTGAGTAGTGCCTCTATGGGTGTCCCACTCTGTGGCTCTTCTGCCTATCTTTTTTCTCTCTCATCTCTCTTCTTCAGATTCAACCCTCTCAAGGTGTTGCAGCCCAAACGCCGCCTACAACAAATACTGGCGTCCTCACCCGTGCCGGTGCCCAAGCCGGCCTCCGGGTCGGGGACGATCGAACCTGTGGCTCCGGTGCCCGTGGCAATTCCAGTGCCAGCACCTCCTGCGTGAGACACACTTGATGTTGCTAGTCTCCGACAGCATGCTCTGTAGCTGTAGCTGGTGCTCCAGCATGCAATGTAGCCACTAAAACACGGCCAATGGGAGCACACAAAGTCTATACTGACTCTGTCGGTATTCATTTGGTCTTGGTTTTAGGTTTTTTCTTATGCAGGATAAAATCGTTTGTGGCAACTATTTGTTTGCCAGAAACAGCACTGCTAATTCTCTGCATACTGCTCGATCAAAGTCAACTTCTTTCGTTCTTTTTTTGCAGCAGCTTTAAACTTCTACTACAACAAAGCAATTCCTTCTCAGGGCGAGTCAGCAGTGGCTGAACGCCAGCTTTTGTCTTCCTGCAAAGTCTAGAGAATTGTTACTGCAGTGTTCCTGATGTCAAAATAACAAAATGGAAGCAGACCGGTGGTCAAAACAGAGTCCTAATCTGGTTATGTGTCTTTGGATGCAAACGCCTGCTGATGCAGCAAAGATATGGACCCTACTGTACAACCATTCCCTTAGCACAGACATGGGCAAACTACACCCTGTAGGCTGGGTACGGCCCGCTGAACTTTCTAATCTGAAACCAATATGTCCATCTTATGGTAAAGATTTGAAAATTTGAGTGATTTGAATTTGTCTTCTTCCTTCATCGGAGTTATAACTTAAATTGTTTCCACTAGATGGTGCTAAGCTCTGCTTTACAAATCCCCAGCCACCTACTGTTACTTTTTTTTAGCACTTCCAGCAGTTCTAACTTCTAGAGTCAGTATAGTGATCATTTGGATTGTTGGAAACCTCATAAGGTTTGCCCACCCCAGATTTAGCTTGTAACTGGCACTGGTACATCTGTATCTGGGAATAGTTTAAAGGAAAAGAATGTGCCAAATAAAAGTATTTGGAACCCTAAGCGCTAGGTCATATACCAGCAGAAGGCTGGACCCCACATTGACGATCAGGCTTTTAGCTTCCTGTCCTTGTCTCTAAATATTTTTTACAGTTTTGGCTTAATGTCAGGTTTCAAAGAGCAGCTTAGAGTGCAATAAAGAAACTTATGAAATATTGCCCAAAAGAAGTGTGTGAAAATGTTTGCTGCAGTGCAGCGTGGCTAAAAAAACAGCAACCCCCACATGCTAGCTCTTTGCTACAATGCTAACATTTTCAGATTTAATTTGTTTTTCCTAATGAGCTAATCATCCATGGCTGTTATGCTTGACTCTGCTTGGTTCCTATCCCTCTGTAAGACAGTGATGAGGCAACGAGTCATTGATTGCAGCAGGTCATAGAATATTTTTATACCAATTTAAATTTATATGTTATCAGTAGGTTTTTTCCAATGAAATACGTACATAACCTGGGAATTTTTAAGCTGGTGTTGCATTACTTTATTTTCGGCATTACGATGATAACATCAAGGACTGTAATGTTTGTCAGTAACAGTGACAGTGTTGACAGCAGTTGCCCATCACAGATCACCCTCCCTGCTCTGACTGACACTGAAGTAACTGCACTGTGATGCTCTACACATTTCTGCTGCAGATTCATTCGAGATTTTGATTAATTATCTTGTTTCATTAATTGTCGTTTTCTGTTAGACTTTAATTGGCCCTCACCGGTGCTGACTTGAGTTGATCTAAGTTGTTGACACTGCGGTTTTGGCGGTGCTCAATTAAAAAAGAATCGTTTAGCAGGTGTTCAGTTTTAGCCGAGGCAATGGTGAGCAGGTGAATAGCAGTTTAACTCAACATCTGAAATATCAGGTAGCTGTGTGGGTGAGATTTGACGGGTGCAGACGAGAAATCTTAAACCTCCAGAGGCTTGGAGGTGTGGTGATGGTGGTGCAGAAAATAACAGGGAGCAGTGCTGCTACAAGAGGGCTATTTGTAAAGTGATCTTGTCAGTTAAAATAACCGTGTTTCTGCAGAAAGTGCCTGTGGAGTTGTCTACTACAAGTCCTCTGTGATATTTCTTAGAATAGAAACTTCTCTGTAGAATGATCATGTTTGTCTTTATTAATTGTTTTGAACTCAGTAACAATTTGGCTGGTACTGCTGTTGTTTATTATTGGACATGTTGTGGCCACTTCCTTCAATCAGGGTCTCGGAACATTAGTTCTTTGTTGGAAATGTTATTTCTGAATGTTAGTTAGCTTTGAATATTTCTGTGCTGTATGTGCAAATTCCTTAAAGTAAAAGTTCTAATCCAGAAGCTCAGACTTGTGCTAGGTGCAGGGCAGCTTTGTCTCACCCCACTGTATACTTTACTGTCACATGCATAAGCTTTTTTTTATTATTAACATGCGCTTTTCTGCTTCGCTCTGTGATTAAACACCGTGTTGTGTGTTCCTGGGCAGGTTTGACTACTGCAGGTTTATAGAGTTAGACTACGTTCCCATGGAGGCGGGCTACATGGTCTCAATGCGCCCCACCAAAGGCTATTCAACAACCAAGTCTCCAACTAAAGGATATGTGTCCACCAAATCGCCGGACCGCCATAACCGCTCCACAAACTCTCCGTCCAACACTCGTACTCGGTCTGTTTCTGAGTCACTCGGTGTTAATCTTCTGTAGCATGTGAATGACACACTGTGGTGAATAGGCATGGGGATATGTGATAGATGTGATTATTAGTGACATGGTAAAATATGTAAATTAAGGCCTAAAAAAACAGGGGGAGAGGCTGCTCTATATGCAATGTAGCTCAGATCACCTCTTGGCCAATCAGTAAAAGAAAACAGTGATGCTATGTTGAGTGCCTTTTGACAAAGCCATATTTGCTAATGTGACATCAAACAGTCAAAGGTGGAATATTTTACCTTAAAAGCTCTGGTTCCTTAGTGGAGTGGTTATCATGCCTGCCTTACGCAGATGGTCTTGTGTGTGGCGCCTCCCACGTCGCAGCCTGTTGCAGCAAATCTGCTGTCAACACTGTAAATTTCTCCATTGTGGGATCCATAAGTAACTTTAAAAAAACAGTTAACAGTTAAACAATACAGAATAAAACTTAGACTGCTCTCTGGTAAGGACAAAGTAAAAAAAGACATCACTGTCAGCATCTGAATACATTTGATTTTCTAACTGAAAGCATCACATTAAAGTGGCTTAAATATATGTTGGTGAAAAAAAGCAATGTTGTAAACAACGCAGTCTCTGTCCTTATGGGTGTTATCGTGTGTCAGTGAACTAAATGGCAACTAGAGCATGAATTCATTGTAGCTGGTTTTGATTTTTTATTTTTTTACTTTTGTATTGTCTCATCCATAGTTGTGATTTGGATAGTTATTATCTGTCCACTGTCATTTTTATTTGACACACTCTCCTGTGGTTCATATACTTCCGTCTCCTAATTGATGTTTTTTTGGGTCACTTTCAGCATTTGGTTTGGTTTTTACATCTTTTCCACAGCACATTACCATCCTCAAAAAAACTGCACCGTCACCATCTGTGCACAACTAAACGTGTGTTCTCTTCCTGCCACGGACGAAAGTGTCTTTGATGTCTGGATGTGTGAAAACCTCTTTGTGTACTGGGGCAGTTCTGTGTTGTGCCTGCATGTTTGTGTATCTGCTTTGAACTTCTCTCTTTTCCTTGCTCTTCTGAACAGCATCACAGTGGTTTTCCTCCGTGGATCACAGATTCATGTCACTGCAGTGGCTCCAGCATGGGGTCTGTTCTGTTGTCTAGAAAACACAATGACATGTCTCCTCTTAATTTGACCAGGCGGACTCCGGCCACGCCCAGTTGTAGAGATCCCCATGGCAACGCCTCCCTGAGCAGCAGCAACAACTCGGGCTCTTGTAAAGGCAGCGACTGCAGCCCCACTAAAGGGTGAGTTCCCAGCAGAGTCTAACGCATGACTAGATGAACAGGAACTTTTGCCTCACCCCCTGAAATGAAATCAACCTGACAATCAGACTGAACTGCAGTTTCAGTTTCAGCTGATTAGCTAAGTCAGTGAACAGGATGTGGGCAGCAGCTCAGAGACTTACAGTCTAAAACCTCAGCATTTACAGCATCTGCTGCTGTACCCATTACAACTGTGTGGGGTCAAATTGATTTGCCCTGTACAGGCTTTTACAGTTGTCCTTGTCTACTGTCAGACTTGAGAGGCCATTAGCTTGATGGCTAATTAAAATAATAGTATTTCTGTGTATCAACAGTGGTTCCAAGTGGGGTGGTTAAATTATGGAAAGAAATCAAAATCATAATTTTTTTTATCTGTATTTACCTTTCTGTTAGACTAATTATATAATGTATATTATATAATGTATAATATTGAAATGTTGTGAAAAAAAGGTCACAAATAAATAAAAACAGCATTATAGAGGAATTTTAAAACCTCTAGAATAAAATACTAAATAAATAATATATATGTAAAATAATATATAAATAAAATACTGTTAGGAAATGAAGATGAAATAAAAAAATAGAAAAAAATTGTATACCAAAATATAGTTACTCAAGTTACATGGTCACAACATTAAAAGATTCCACATCAATATTCAAAATGTCAAAAAATATCTCTTGACATTTCTTGCTGACTTAGTCAGTATTTACTGTTAAACTTCAATTAAAATTTTATTTGTAATTGTAATTTGTAAGGTAAAAGTGACGAACATCACTGTACTTTTTGTAACTGCTTACCTTTTGTGTCCTAGGCGCAACCAAAAGTACACATCATGTACAGACAACCATGGTATTCGACCCCCTCCACCAGAGCAGTATCTCACTCCTCTGCAGCAGAAGGAGGTGTGTATCAGACACTTGCGGGCCAAGCTCAAAGAAACCATTACCACACTACAAGACAGGTAAGACACAAAGACTGATGTAGAAGACACTTGGAGTTGGACAGAAAACCCACGTCCAGCAGTGTAATCCTCGTCTCTACTCTCACCGTTTCAGGGACACAGAGATCGACGAGCTGAGAGGACGACTGTACAGGATGCAGGAGGACTGGGTGGAGGAAGAATGTCACCGTGTGGAGGCTCAGCTGGCCCTGAAGGAGGCACGACAGGAGATCCAGCAGCTCAAACAGGCCGTGGACACTGTCCGCTCCAGGCTCAGTGATGCAGGTGGACTGAATGGAGACGTGGGAGTCCAGAAGTACTTCCAGGACATCAACATGCAGAACCACAAGCTAGAGAACCTTTTGCTGAGCATGGAGATAGCCCAGGCTGGATTAGCCAAAGAGGGAGAAGCCATGGGCCAAGGATTTCGAACCCGTGTTGGGGGTTCGGCACCAGCGTCAGTGTCAGGGGAGAGTCCTGGAGCAATACCCAAACCAGCAGTAGGTGGGAGGGGGTCTTGTTCCTGTGATGGTTCTCCTGCCCGTTCTCTGACCAGAAGCTCCACCTATACTAAACTTACTGATCAGGCGTTGGCAGACCAGAACGACTTTCCCGGTCTGTCAGGAGACGGCACCCAGGACAGTGGTTTTGTGTGCTGTGGGGACAGCAGCGTTCCGAGTCGGGCTGACCTGTTGTTAGAGGCTGCCTACCTGTCGGAGGAAACGGCATCTTTACTCAACTCATACACACAGACCTTCGCTCAGTCTTTACCCCACTCTCTGCCCACCTCTATGCCCAACACCCTGCCCCACACCTTCTCCCATACTTTACCTCGTTCTTTTCCTCACAATCTGTCTCATTCCGTCTCTCACGCTATGCCGCACTCGGCCACCTACGAGAAGCTGTGCACTGGCGAGCGGATGGTGCCGTTCCGCTGTGGCCTTGGTGGAGTCAGCTGTATGAGCCACCCCTGCCTTTCCCACCACCACCTGTACCTGCATCCACTGCGTGAGACAGGTATCCAGACTGAAAGCTGCCCAATCCCCGCGACAGCAGGTTATCCTTCGGATCTGGACACCATTGCAGAACAACGCACGTTTCGCTCCCAGGCCTGCAGTCCTACCTCCACCTGGCTCTCTGATGAGGGAGAGGAGGACCTGGACTCCATCACCACCACAACATCTGTAACAACAGCGACAGTAATGAGTACGGCAACGGAGCCGATCCCAGTGTCCAAAACACCAGTGGTCCCTCCATTACAGCGGTCCGCTACTATGGCCTGCTCCCCTCGTTTTTGCAGAGAGGGAGAAGTTGAGGAAAGTGAAAAACAGGATGTGGAAAAGAGAGAAACAGAAGAGAAGGTCACAGAGCAGCAAAAAGAAGTGACGGTGATTGATGTGGAGAACGAAGAAGAGCAGAGGCAGGACCAGGACTCACCCGGGGTCTTTGATGAGGCGGACAGTCAGGGGGCAGTCGAGGACTCACCACCAGTAAAACCCTGTGACTTTACAGAGACTTCAGCAGGGATCCAAGGGGATCTTAAATTTGGAAGTTGCTGTGGAGAAACCAAGAGGAATGGAATTACACCAAGAAATGTCAGCGTAGAAGAAGATGGTCCATTAGAAGGATCGCCAAAGGATGAGGCGGGGCCACCAAGTCCAAGTCAGGAAGGATTATCACTGGGTCTAGAGCTGCCCCACACCTCACAGCCACTGAGATCTCCATCTCTTCAGAAAATTGCTGGCTTGACTGTAGTGGAGGTGCCCGACAAGGACGATGAGGAAACTCAAGAGCAGCACAGCACAGCAGGGGGCGCCATAGCAGATGTGGCATCACCTGATGCTTCAGCCATTCAGAAAAGCTACTGGAGTCGCCACTTCTTAATTGATCTGCTCGCAGTGGCCATCCCGGTGGTGCCGACGGTGGCTTGGCTGTGCCGCGGCCCGGTCCGTGACAGGCAGCCCATGTACCATATAGGATCTCTGCTGCGAGGCTGCTGCACTGTGGCACTGCACTCACTACGAAGGGGAGGTGGGCTCAGGCATTACCCCGCAGGCGGGGGGGACATGGGCGGATCACAGATATGACATGTAGTTCTATCGAGCACCTCTTTGGTCCTTTACGGTTAGCTATCGCTCAGATATTTCTGAGAGTAGAAGATTGCGACGAAGTATCGAAGTTGAAAGAGCCATAAAAAAAAAAATGACGTGCATTGACGACTAAGACCTCTGACCTGCACCCTGTTGTATCTGCAGTCCTGTTCATTATCACTCCCACCTGCTGCTGTTGCTAACAAAAATGCTAACTCCTTGTGACTTGTGCAAAAAAGCTGAATGAAATGAAAGCGAATGTGCTGACAAACACGAATAATCTGCGCTTGAAGTGGTTGATGCCGTGTGTTTTCTTTAAAATGTGCAGGGAAAATGTTAACACTTCAGCGAGCTGTGGAAGCTTCTAGTCTTGACTGGTGTTAAAATGATCACAGTGATAAGAGAGTAGTTCAACTAGACAAAGACTAAGGAGATAGAAGGATAGTGGAAACACAGAGAGTGTGTTTTTTGGGGTTACTTTTTTTTTTTTAGTCTTGTCGATCATTTTACCACGTATCTTGAGTCATATTGGACCTTTGCTGGGCTTGAAACGTATATCTAAAATAACAGAACACACTTTGATACCACTCTATAGTAGGACTTAGCGGGGAAGTGTTGAAACAATCAAACAGCTGTTTGTAGATACTGGCAGTGTGACGCCTGTAGACGTGGGTGCGAATGATGTGAGTTGTGTTCCCTCTGTGAACTCTGCTGTATATCTCTGCTGACTTTAAAGCTCCTGCGGTGTATCTTCGCTGTCGCTCTAGTCGTGTCTACTTCGAGTCCGCTCTGCAACAGTAAGTCACTGCAGACGGATCGGTTTCTTTCGTTTTATACCAACTCCAGACATACAGTAGACTGTTCGTGTTACATGAAACCCGGTAAGGTATCAGGGTCTGGATCATGTTTGGGATCGGGGGGTTTTCTCTGTGTGCATTTGTGAGAATTTTGAGATGAAAACTGAACTTCCACTTGTTTATGCATCATCTTTGTGGAGGTTGGAATTGTAAGGTTTCTGAAAGAAGCTGCTTAAGTTTAAGGTTGGCTTTATCTAGATTACTTCAACTGGTAAACCTAACTGTAATTCCCTACATAGATTCCTTAAGAGTCCACGTTTGAATGAGTGTGGGCTGCTAAAGATGTGTTAGTCGTGTAAATGTCGGTCCAGCTTAATATGTTGTGTATCAAAACTGGGCCAGGTCAATTTTCCGATGCTGGTTTCTACAAATGTGTGTAGTCTCAGAAATTACGAGTGGGAAATTGTTTAAAGCAATAATCAAATTAGAGTACACGGTTGTCGTTGTCTGCTCAGAGAAAAGTGCATGTGTTGGAGCACCACCTTGTGTCTGTTTGTGAAACTACATGTAGATAAAACTACACATACACTCACCGGGCTGGGATTAAAGCTGCAGACCTTCAAGCTGTGAGGCCACAGCCCTAACCACCTCTCCTCCATGTCAAATGTAAGACGAAGTGACGAAGACTCTTGAGATGATTGAGGATGGGAAAAAAACTTGACGATGAAACCCTGCAAAAAGAATCAGACACCAGGTGAACTGTGTGTTACTTTAACTGTTTCTGGGTTTTTTCCTCTTTATTTTCATATTTGTTTGACATCTTTGCACTATTATTAACTTTACCCGTTTGAAGCAATGACATTGATGTCTCGTGGATATCCCTCTGTGAGTGTGGCTCCTCTGAAGTCTGAGAAAATGTCCTGTTGCTTTTTGTGTATTTGGCCAAATCTGACGTAAATAGATATTACAGATAACAACTAACACATTTCAGTAAGATAGATGTTACATCTCCATTATAATTCAGTATTTACAAAAAATATTACTATCTGACAAAAACATCTCTGAGCTCTTAATATTCGTTCATTACACACACAGACACACACACACAAGATCCGATGCCTATAACAGTCAAAATGTGTACAGGGGTCCATGATTGGTCCATGATTCCGACATAGGACATAAAACATCACATAATATAATTTCGCATGGGAACTAGTTAGCAAGCGGAGAGGAAGAATATGTTATCCCGCGGAACTATACACTGAAGCTGGCTTTGTTTACATTCGCATTGATTGTGCTAGATTTGCTTTCTTTCGTTAGTGTTTTTTTTTTTGCCCTTCATTATGGCTCCCAATTATGGCTTATGTCCTATATTAAGATGTAACCATTGTGTTAGCGTAGCTGTGTGACATCAATATACAGTATGTGAGTTCCCACTGGCAGCCAAAACCGTTATGGGTTGTAGGAACGTAACTGCGACACAAGTCATTGACCCCCTTGAGTCTTGGAGACGGAAAGTCTCAAAGACCTCAGAGGCAGGTCTGGATTTTTCAGACAGCTTAAAAAATGTAAATCCTTTTACAAGTGTGTTTCTATTGCAGAAGATTATAGGTTCAGTGATGTCTGTCAGAAACATATATGCTCTTATACCTGGTGTACACTGACCGCTGTGTGTCAAACAGGTGACAATCCACCCGAAACCTCACAAATCCTCCGTTCCCCTCCGTTCATTACTGATCTGGAGAAATAAAAAAAGAAATTACAAAAGCAGCAGCCAATGAGATCTTCCAAACAATCGGATCAATGCCTTACACACACACAAAGATACACACAGTCATACACAGCTCAGCCTCTTCATCCTCACCTGCTCAGTCTTCATCCAGAGCCATCTCACATCTTTGACAAAAAACCACTAAATCCTGTGAAGGAACCAGTGACAGAATGTTCTTGCGGAGCTCTATGTAAAATGGTTGAATGTGTTGTAAATAGGGCTGCAACCAACACTTGTGCTGCTGTTTGGTTTGATCGCACGCATGCCCGACTGTTGGGTGGATACAAGTTGTTCAAAAGTTCAGGTGAGTCGTGGGAAGCAGTGGAACTGTCCTCACAATACATTTAAATTTTGTGTGAGCTATTTTTATATACTGTCCTTATTTTATTAAACATCTTGTGCTTAAACAGACATAGCTACTTGTCAAAATTGGTCTATTGGGGCCCATACCTGCCTCGAAGTATCGCAAATGTGGGCCACACGTCTATCAAAAATCACTTTTTTTGAGTATTTCTTGGCTTCGAAAGGGTCAGTGTTTGTTGAGCTCTGTAACCACTAGGGGTCAGTAATTCACTACAGAATTGTTTGTATCAGGGTTTCATAAACATAAACATATTTCTAATTAATTCACACACAATGCAGTTAAAGGAGTTTTCTGCTCAGATGATGACAATCTATGAACAATCCATAGACAACATTTGACATTAATCTGTACTAAGAGTCAATCTTTACCAAAAACAACAACAAAGCCTCAGTACAATACTGATGTTGAACGTTGGACCATTATAAACCCCATGATGCACCTGAACTTCCTGTTCTCACGCAAGGCTGTCATTGTTTAATTAAACTGACTATGTAATCAAACACAACGATCAATATTAACGAGAATGTCTTTTCGGTTGTCAATACTAAACGTGTGACGTCATTTTATGCTTTGCCCTTGTCTGTGTGTGTGTTTGTCTCCTATAGATGATATTATAATTATTAATGTATAGAGAGGTTATATAGAGTCCTTGGACACACTACCATTCAGGGTTAGTTGCTCAGCTGACATCATTAGTATCCACTGTACATCAGTGTATTGTAAATGACCTATTTTAATGCCAATAGTGACATGTACAGTAGGACAGATTACTCCCTCACCACACCGAATAAAGACGGAGCAGAAGCCTCTGTATTAAACAGCATGGAGGAAAGATTTGTGTGGTCTTTGTCTCTGTGTGTTCCTGCACTTTGATGTTCAGCTCACCACTGTCAACATAAATAACCTCAGTACCTGATAAAAAACACAAGGTGAAATATAATGTCAGCAACTGAAAAATAAAGTACATCTGAAGGGTGGTAGTTAGACAACAGTGCCTGGTGTGTAGTATCGATATGATCTTTTATATGCATTTATACAATTTATGTTAATGTAGAATTTATAAACTTTTCAAACTTGATTTCAACATTGAAATTCAAATATTTTATCGTATTTGATTTGTTTGTTTTGCCCTGTTAACTTAAGGTCTTAAAACTAAACTTTAAGTTATTCTGTTAAACCACCACCTATATCAAATAAACAAATATATATATATATATATATATGTATTTATATATATATAAATAAAAAAAATATGTATATATATATACATACACATATATATATATACACACACACATATACATACATACAGTATATACATACATATTTATATACAGGGGTTGGACAATGAAACTGAAACACCTGGTGACCAAAGGTTTAGCTATAGCAGCCCGGCCATGTATATTGACCCTGTGGAGCTCCTGAGGGACAGTTTTGGTGGTAACAGGAGAGTTGAGGTGCACATTTAATTCTGCAATGAGTTGGGCAGCTGTAGTTTTTTGTTTTTTGGATACAATCTGGGTGAGCACCCGGACATCCCTTTCAGACAGCTTCCTCTTCCGTCCACAGGCCAGTTTCATTGTCCAACCCCTGTATATATACACACAAACACGGTGGAACCTCAAGGTACGATGGGGAGAATTTCTCCCCATTAAAAATAACTAAAAACCAATTTAGTTGTTCCAGCCCCCCAGAACTATACTATTTTAATTAAATTAAAATCCCCCTCCTATCTAAACATCAAAAACATAGATATAAACAATGTATTGATCATATAAAATAATAATAAAGACAACATTTTATATTATTGTTATAGTGAGCGAGACAGCGTGACAGAGTGTCGGGGGGACTAAGGTAGGAGAAGGACTGGGAGTGAGGAGAGAGAAAGGGAAAGCGACAGATAACTCGATGTTTCCCCATTGTAGTTTTATCTTGAGGTTCCACTGTGTATACATATCTATATTATTGTATATATATTATATATATATATATATATATAAAATATATAAATTGAATTTTTTTACTTGTGACACTGATGCTCCAACACCATGTTCTAAGTGAACAGAAAGGGTGTTTATTTGTTTTACAATAGTATCTTGGTTACATTCGTATATAAACTTTTTTTTTTTACAGAACGACAGTGATGTTTATCAGGACATATCTAAAAAAATTAATGGAAGAACATGCATTCGAAATATGAACAGCATCAAAAGGAGCGACTGGTTATATATTGATGTTGAAATTCACAATCCTGAGCTCAGCTCAAAACCAGTCCCGGAGGGAATTTCTTTTATCTTTTTTTCTAGTAAGCAGAAGATTTTCAGCATGGAATATAGGAGCATTAACGCAAAAGTTGAGTTGAATTTTTGAAATATCTCTTTAACGCGACGAACCACAAACACCGCCGCTTAAACCATCCATTGAAATAAACAGAGTCAGCCTCTAAAAAGGAAGTGGAAAAGTGCACTTAATGGGTCTGCACTAGTCAGACCCCGTCTAAACAAATACTCATGATTGGCCAAGAAAGCTTGAAATGCTGCACCATATACAAAAACTGGCAACAGAAGGACCGAGTCTCCCTGTGTCTCCTGTGATCCTGGTTATGACTCTTAAGATGACGCGTGGACAGTCCAAGCTGCAGAAGATGGCAAATATCAACTGCTGCTGCCTATTCTTACTACTCTCCTTCCAATATTCAATTATCTCCTTCACACTCAGTGTACCAGTACCTATCGACCAAAACATCCAAGGACACCACACCACCTCATGGGATAAATAAAAAACACCACTACTGTAAGTCTTACTATTAATATTTGGATTGTATGTTTTAAGGAATATTTAAGTAAATTCAGGCTGTGACCCAACATTTTAGAGCCATCATTTATAAGACTGGATTTTGGGTTCTGTTCAATCAGGGTATTTACCACAGGTCTGTGCTTTAGTGAAATGTGACCCAAAGTTACAGTCTACTGGTTTGTTTTGTAATTAATAGCTAATTTTAAAAAAACATTTGCATAATCCCAGGGTTTAGCCCTCTTGGCTAAAACAGCACCTTAAATCGTCTGAGTTTCTGTTAAGAGACAAAACAAAACAATCCAGACTACCAGTGTCAGTGCTGTTACTGGTTTTGTCCTACAGTGACTCCAGCATACTTGTGACTTCACAGCTCACTGAGGCTAAAATGCAGGGTTGAAATAACCTTACAGCATAATGGTGTTGATCTAAATCAACATTTCCCCCCCCCTAAAGTATGGTTTAAATGATGAGTTAAACTGGCCCTCTATAAATCTAGGAGAAAGTCAGCCAACATGTTTACATTAGTTCAGCGGTCATAATGCATACGCACCCAAACCGGCCACAATGCAGAGGCAGACAGCGCAACCGTGGTATGCAGCACTCACTGCAGTGTTCTGATGATCGACCGCCAGGATTTACAGACATTTTTAACAAAGCGACTCTAAGAAGGAAGCTCTGGACTTTGTGGTTGTGAGCAAGGCTTTGAAAGTAAAAAGATTTTTTGTCCTGTCCTTGGTCTCAAATACAAAACAAGAACTAACTAATAAATGAGACTGAACTGTTACAATATAAGAATGTGAAATGTCAAAAGTAATGGGAATGTAGAAATGATAAGAAAAAAAAACAGAATAAAAAAAGGCATTTTAGAATTAGAAATGCTCAGGAGCACAGATGGTGATGAGACTGTGACACAGCAGAAGAATTAAGATGAAGGCTAAAAGTAACATAGATATGAGACGAACAACGATGGAAAGATTAAATGAGAGAGACAGATGTGTTTTGTAGACGTCCTGACATTTAGTGATCGTCTTCCTCCTGCTCTTTACACCTCGGGGACAGAGTGATCCATGGAAGTTCGGAGGAGGCCAGTGGACATTCTGGACAAAAACAATAACATAACGAGAGTTAGTGGGAGATTTTCCTTTGTGTTGTCACCATTAGCTGTATATACAGTAAGCATGTACAGCCATTTTTCAATTTCAGTTTAAAAAAATGACATGATCTACTGAAGAACAATAAAATGTCAAGAGAGAAGTTCCTTTTCTACTACTTCTAGTCTTCACCTTCATAATAGTCCAGCTTTGTCTATCTATATGTGGGGACAATAGACTTTACATGAAGAACAAGTGAACTGAGCTGTATTAATATCATTACTAATGTGAAATACTTATAAGCGAACAGTCTCACCTCTTGACCATGTGTTCGTAGACGAACTTGGGCATGATGGTGATGGTCATGGTGGTTGGAGAGGTGTTCAGAATGTCCTTGATCTGAGAATCCTGTCAATGATTCCAGAGTCACACATGTTAACAATAATCATCCAATGATGCTAATGGACTGTTTTATAAACTACTACTTAATATGAGGAGGAGGTGGACTGTTTTCTAGAAGGTGCTTTTTTGTTGGGTTTTTTTTTAATTAGCCAAGAGCTAGGACAAGAACCAAGACCTGGGACTGGATGGATGGATCAAATCAGAGGAGAGAATTGTCAGAGTTAACACTATAAAAGTCAAGTTACACCATGGACCACAGGAGGAAAAAAGGCTCAGACTAACCCAGATTATATAGAGATCAGATATAAAGGCCAGCCCTCTGTGATAAAAACCTCGGACATCATTAAATTTTAAATTATGAGATAAAGTCAAGTTAGATGAAAACTAAACTACTAAACTAGATGAAAAGCATAATAAATAAATGTTCTTTCAAAGAAATGCAACAAAGGAAAAAAAACTAACAGGGAAAACAGTTGAATCAACAGCTACATCAGGGATCAGCTGTTGCTGTCACACACTAAAAAATTGGGCAGACAATGAAAATGCTAACACTTAGAACTTACAGTGACTTACAGTGACTCTGCTAAGATTATTGTTGCCATCCAGATGCAAACTTTAGATCAAAAGTTTTAAACAATTTATTTTCCACACTCTGGCATAAGTCACACTTTACCAAAACATTATTTTATAATATATTTGTTAAGCACAAAACGGAACTAGTTTGTCTGACCTTGAGTCCGATGACATTTTGTCCATTGATCTCACAGATGTAATGCTCGGTCAACAGACCGTTACGAGCAGCAGAGCCGTCCTTGACCAAGGAGGTGATTTTTCCAGACTTGTAGATGAAGCCCACGTGGCCTGAGCTGTCTTTGTGCATAGTGATAGTGCGCTGAAATGGCCTTTACATACAAAGACACACAGTATTATTAGCAGTAGCATCTATTTGCATTCCAGTTACAGAGTAGCAGAGTGTAAATAATAAAGTAGCCAGCAGAGAGAGCCACATAATAAAAGGCCACAAGAGAAAATATAATAGAGAGACATTTAATCTCCCATTTTATACTGATGTGCTGGTCACATTTACATCATGAGGTTTTTTTTTCTAAAGACTAGGTAAAAATTCAGACACCTTAACAAAGAAAAAGTAACACTTATTCCTTACCTGTCCCTGACCACGAGCTCAATGCGAGTCTCAGCTGCAGCCTTCAGGGCCTTGTGGGCCTTGTCAGAACTCCAGCCAGCACAGTTTTGACCGTTGATCTGAAGGACCTGGTCACCAAAACGCAGCCCAGCCAAGGCTGCGGGGGAGTTGGCCTGCACCAGCTGGATGAACATTCCCTGGTGGAGGATGAAAGGAAACAGATAAAATAACTGATGTGACTCCAGGGAATGAAGAGGATGGAGACATCCCCAAACAGTGGGGTGAAACAAGAAGAAGGACAAAGATAGAAATGAATACATCACGAAAGAAGAGAAGGGAAATTAAATGACCAAAAGAAAGCTTTTCCAATAAATAAACAGTTTTGAAAATCATGTATTTATACTCTCTGTACAGCAGTCATTTTAGCCCTTCTACTGTGAGTGCAATTGAGTACAACTAAATTATTAAGTGCTGTGAGGTCCAACTGTCTGGAGAGCAGAATGGACAGACTCTTGGACTCCACTGCACATTCAGATAAACATATCTCTAGTAGCAATTCATTACACATATATTTATATACAGTGTAGATATATATATATGTACAGTATATATATGTACAGTATATATTTATATATAGTGTGTGTGTATATATATAGGCATACTTTGTATAACTGATCTACCTTTGTGATTCAGTTCTAAATATTTGACACTACTGCTCTAAGTAATAGCAAATGCATGGCTCCTGCAGTTGATTTATATTGCTCTTGTTCCATTGTTCCATGTTCCATTGCAAAATCAGTGTGATAATTACTGACAGATCACATGATGTTCCAGAACATGAGTCTCACATTTGGAAGGAGCCGTATCTAAGTTAATAATTATATTAGCGGCCCATCTACTGCAAAACTTGTAAAAGTTTTTATTTTTGCCAAATTTATTTTGCTTAACAATATTATAGTCAGTCAATTATCTTTCTTAATTTCTCAAATAAAAAAAATATTTTTTTAAATCAAATATGTAACCAACTCTATTGAATATCAGGTAGTGACCACTAATTTACTGTGCAAAGAGCCTGTTTAGCTGATTTTAATTCTAATTCAGACGCAGATCCTGCCCCTCATCACCAATCTTATCTTGTAGATTAGTAACTAATGTGGGTTTGGTGTGTGTGGAGTCAAAAAGCTGCTAAGAACATTGAGTCTGTGCTGAATTATTCATGAAGGCTGTCGGTCAAAGAGCCCACGGTGCTGACTCACGTTGTCAATTGACCTCAGACGGAGTCCAACCTTCTTGTCCTGGTCCTTACAGAGAATGATCTCCCTCAGCCCAGGGCGGATCTCTGCCCGCCTGACACCAATGTCTGCCCCCGTCACTGGCCGTATCATGCTGGTGACGCCCAAGGTGGAGGGCACTGCCACTTGCTGAGAGATGGAGAACAGCAGCACGGAGAAGAGAAGAAAAGGTGGGAAAGAAGCAAAGGATAAAAGATGAACATTAACATTCAGTGACTAATGGGAAAGTGCAACAAAAGGAGACAAGTGGAAGGTTTAAAATTCATCTCCTACTCCAAAGGCAAATGAGGTCAAGAAAACTTTGCAAACACTACAAACTTTTTTAACCATAAGGGTAATATGATAAATGAATACATTAAATTAAAGGTAGAGGTGAATACATCAATAGAAGTTAGAGCAGGGACCAAATGACAGGCTGAATTCTCACAAGAGCCTTGTCATCTGCAGGATACATACAGCCACACAGTAACAGTTGCATGAGAGTAAAAAGCTCACACCCTCCCACACACACGCAGCCTCTGGCTTTTGGTGAGTCACTCAGATCTGTGGATCTCCACAAATCCAGTTTTGTTCAGTTTGAACATTTTTTCTCCTTTAGTTTATACAGGTCTACGAAACCACACTATGTTGGGCCAACTGAGAGCCACAAACAAGACCATTTTGTTCTCTTAAATATATAAAAGCTATATGCACTGACCTAATCTTAAATACATAAAACATCCACAATGCACCCACACACTTACATTTTCAGCCACAGGCACCAGGGCCATGTTTCTCTGGACTTCATCACTGTTGAGGCACAGACCCATGTAGTCGCTCAGTTCCTCCAGATTTGGGTACAAGCCTGAGGATGGGTGAAAGGAGGAGGAGGTTGATGAAAGAAGGAGCAGAGGGAAGAAATTGTTGTGAGGTACAGATGGAGAAAGAACAAACAGGTGGGAGAGAAGAGAACAAGGGGGTGTAGAGAGAAACAAAAAAAAACAGCATTATGGTTTGGTTATCTAAATAAAAATACAACTATATTATTAAAGAGGCTAAAACATATGTAGTTATTGACGAGAATCACCATACCACATAAAAAACATTCCTCAATTATTAATTATTATTTCTCAATTAATTATTATTAAGTTCTCTAACAACATATTATTTCAATATCTATTTATTATGATTCTATTAAGGAGAAAATAGGTGATAAAGCACAATATCAAAATTAAACAGGAGCCTGGTTACAGCCAACTGTCTCTAGAGAGCATCCTGGGGCTGCCAAGTCAAAAATAACTTAGCGTTTTGTTAAAAGAAAAAGAAAACAGAAAAAATAGATGTAGTGATGTAATGTAGTGCACATGTTGTACTATATAATCCTCCACTTAGTAAGAGTTCCATTCCTACGATGCAACATAACTCGATTTTTACTGGAAGTCTGAACTGACGTACTGTACCTATGTCACTCACCTACGCTAACACAGTGGTAACTTGATAATATACGACAGAAAAACATCTGACTTACACCTGGGTGCCATAATATAAGGCAAAAAGTTCCCAAGGAACTCAACACAAAAGATGTAGCAAATGTAGCACAATCTAATGTATGGCGTAAAACTTTAAACAAGTCCGTCTTTGCATATAGCATACAGCGCAGCATGAAAATGTATGCATCTGCTCCGCTTACCAACTACTTCCCAATGTTGTTTAAACGCCACTTGTCTGAATAATGGAACAAAACTTTTTTAATAAGTTTATGGGAAATGGCTGTGTAACCACAAAATGCCATAGATCTAGGATCTCATAAAGTGAGGATCCCCAGTAATATTGCATTTATACACACTGCAAATTTTCTTTCATTAAAATGACCAGTAAATCTGTCTATAAAGTATATAAAGATAAAAACTGATTGGTCTAAAACCAAAAGAAATCATAATGTCCTTGGAAAATGTTTTGTGGAAAATGATGGAATTATATTGTGTTCATTGTCAGAGAAGCTTTGGACAAAAGCTTAAGTAAGATAATTAGAGAAAATGATTTTTATAGAATCTCACCATTGTCAATTGATGACTTAGTGGTTAATTATTCATCAGTTGTAAGCCACATCTGGTTTACAGGAGCATTTTATGTTTGCCATAAAACAACTAAACACATAATCCTGTTAAACATTATCTTTTGTTTGCCTGTTATGTTTGTTGAGTTGTTGTGGATAGGGAGAAAAAAGAACTGATAGAAACAATAGATGAACTGATAAAACTGCTGTTGAATTTAAAAAAAATTGCAGCTGAAATCCAATGTCTCAAAAGCTGACCTAAAAATGCAGCTAGCAACAATTAGTGTGCAAGAACTTAGATTAGTCAAATAAAAACCCGCAAATGTCCAAAGTGGTGACTTTGACCACGTATGAACTCTCGCCACATGATCATGAGTCATAACGTCATACTCTGACTCCTATGCTAGGCCTACGTATAAAACATCACTGAAGGCTCTTCTTATTTTCACTCAAATATGAGTTTCCTTTGTTTTCTTTGGTTTTTTTCTCTCTCCCCTTTTTTCCCCATTTAGATGACCTTTTCTTTTATCCACCCAAAACCCACAAAACAAATAAACAAACATCTTGTTTCTTGTTCAAATAAATATAAATTCCTCTTTTCTTAGTGCTCCCTGTTCTCCCATCACAAGTCTTTGTGAAACGAGTCTACGTGACGAGGCGAAAAATTATTCTGTTCAGAATGTGACAATCCTGACAAGAGGAGGAAACAGATTAACTTCTCCATTGGATGAAGACATCATGTCTACCTAGAGATGTAAGGCAATGTTTCTTAAAGCCAGGTTGAGGCATAGAGCCTCACTTTCTCGTCATGAGAAAATGCCTTGGCTGTTAGAGAAGCAACACAGAATTAATGACTAAAGTAATTTAAATAATAATTAAATTCTATAATCAAACTCCTTAGTCATTTTTTTCCAATCCTCTTCTGTTACAGGACGTATATAAAGTGTTAAAAGTACAGAAGATGGGTCTATGTAAAAAAATATATATATACTATTTTATTATAGATTCTCATTATAATTTATCCACAAATGCTCAAAAATGTCTCCCTTCCTGCCTCCGCTTTGACTAAATTCATATCTTTCCACTGCCTCCTTATCCTCCTTTTCCTCCCTCTCCTCTCTGTTTCACATGCCCTGTCCCACCAGAAATGTCCAAGCTAGTTTCCATGGTAACTTGTGGCCTGGACTGCCGAGGCAAAAACAAAAGACTAAAATCCCAGAGGACTGTGCATCCAAACAAAAAACATAAACAAAATGCATTGGAGGCAACAACAATTGAAGAAGTTGGTGGAAAAAGTACAGAAAATGTATGTTTCTAATCTCTACTGACATGAAGTGTTTTTTGTACCCACTTTTGCTCATTGTTTTCCCTTTGCTTACTCAGGAGTTTAGACCTACTTTTGCACAAATTCAAAAATATAACAAACATGAACCCCTTAAGGGGAAAATATAAAAGGAAAGAGGGAAATGAGGAACCACAAACACAAAGGAGACATGAGAAAGCCTAATTCAAATCCCAGTCCCCTTGGTTTGGTTGCATTTATTTACCCTAAATACCAAAGATCTGGTTTTGCCCCAAGTATGAACCTTGATTTAAACCACAAGAGACATAACTGGCTTAAACACGTTTCTGTGACGGTATTTGTGTTTCAAAATAGAGACATTTTCTTTTTGAGTACAGATAACACTTACATGATGCAGGCATCGCAGCATCCATGGGTGGAGGCTGGTAGTTTCCCTCAGTGATGGCCGGCATTGGGGCGGTGGTCTGGGCAAACTGGGCCTGGGCCTAAAGAGTGAATGTTTGAAGTTGATCAGTACAGGGCAAGTACATCTGTTCTTAGCACTTTTTAATATATTTAATATATATTGATTCTGTAAGTCAAAATGTTTAGTTATAATAGAAATTCAGAGATTATTTAAGTGAAAAACACCATTATTTGTGGGAAAAATAAATAAATAAATGACCCAATAAACAAATAAATAGACAAAGAATGCAGTGATATATAAAATGATGAGTTTTAGCTTGTAGGAAAAAAGGCCCTAAAATTACAGTTCAGGTAATTCAGGCTTGGTACAGTTATAATTAGGAGTATCTAGTCTTGAGTAGGAGTTAGTCTCTATAAAACCTAGGGATGTCAGATAATATCGGCTGATCAATATTATCGGCCCAATATTAGCATATTATGTAATATTTGTAAGAATCGTTATTGTTTTTTCCTCTGATAATGAAAACCTGATAACGCAATGCCTGGGTTTCCCTAAAATATGTGTGCCCTAATAATAGTTTTGGGGATAAATCGGCTGTATAAATAAAGTGAAAGTGGGAAAAAGATGGCAGCATTGCAGCTGATTTAATTAACCTCATACTCATACAGCAGTTTGTACAGATAAATAAATAAATATTACCAGGCCTATATCGGTTTATATCGGAATCAGAAGCAAGTGTTTGGACAATATTGGCATATCGGCAACAAGTTAATATCAGCCCGAATAAGAATAAAATGTACTTCTATAAACACTGCTGGTCATATTCTACTTAATTAGCAGAATTAAGAACATATAACAATTGAGAACAATAACATAGTTATTCGCCTCCACAGGCAAAACAACAAATAATTGACTATGATTTTTTTTCGACATGACTAGCTTGTTCGAAAAAATCCAGATAGAGTAAAAATAATGGAACAATTTAACTTAATTTTAAAAAGATATAGTTTAATGCAGAAAAAAACATACCTTAATAACCTTGTCGACCTTAAGGTCCTCAAGAGATGGATACAGAGACATCCTGATGAGAGAAAACAAGGAGAAATGAGGAGAGGATGTTCAGAGAGCTTAAGAGGTCCGAGTTCCAGCTAACAGCCTGACCAGAGATGCCGCAGCAGACTACTCAACAGGATCTCATAGATCCATGTTGCCTCACTGCTGTCCATTACCGTTAAACTGCATTATGCTGCATTAAAAAATAAAACATTGTTTCCAATGACTATGTGATGCTAATGGGATGCTAAGCATTTCCCAATGACTATGTGATGCTAATGGGATGAAGGGATGAAGAGTCAAGACTTCAGAATAAAAGCATGTTTTGTAACTGTTTTATCTTTTTGCCCATTTATTACAGAAACTGTCTTAAGGTTTGTCATTTTAAACAAAACTAGGTTCCTTCTGTTTCTTTAAACGATGGTGCACAAACCACTAGTAATACTAGTTGAACTGAGGTTTAGTTTTCTTTTGGAATACCAACAGCATTGGCAAAAAAGGTGAAAGGCTTAAAAACAAACCATGTGAATCATGTGGAAAATATAAACATTAAAAGATAACGTAAAAAGACCAGAGATCAAAGTAAAGCCAACAAACCAAGCACCAAAATTTCAGAATTGCAATAAGTGTTTTAGTGCTACACATTTTGGAAGCCAAGTGTAAAGAGAAAAGCAAGCCTAAAGCTCTTTTAAATAAATAAAAAACACATTGCATAAACTTAAGAAATATTTCATGGCAAAAAATTGTATGATAATATAATATAGATCAATCAGAGCTCATGTTTATAGTCTGTCTTGACTGCAAGTTGCATAACTACAATACATTCATTGAGCTAAACTGAAATTAGCTGCTGGTGTGTGTAAATACAATCACTCTAACACACAGCAGCTTTACTAGCCTTATCTGTCAGTTTTTGCAATGTTGACATAATGACTTCAAATCTGCTTCAATTCAAACGATAACATTCAATTGAAAAGAAGATAAACTGAGTTTTCCAGTCAGAGCAGAGGCGATGGAACATACTATTATGTAACAGAAAAAAGAAATATGCTTAACGCAGTGTGAACGGCTTTATGGACAAGATCCCATGAAGACGTATTACTGCTGTAAATACAACAAGCAGAAACATGAACAGGGAAGAGACTATCAGCTGACTGAGAGGGCAAACAAACAAAACAGGAAACGTGACAAACCAACCCCAGTCAGTCAAGTGTATCAACATGGCAATTTCTCTTTTTTCTATTCATCATTATACTGCACTTGTTTGGAATATTTAAACAACGACAGGGAACAGGGATACAAATTAAACTTGTAGAGCACTTGAAGAACGAGATAAATATGAGTATAGAGTCTTTAGTGTAAAAATAAAGTTGCTGAATCGCAATCTGAAACAAGCAATAGTTAAAAACACCACAGATAAATGGAGAAGGTGAAGATTTATCAATTGGGGAAGACAAATGACTCGTTCGCAGATCAACAAAGTTCCGGAAGGCAATTACGACAGCTTGCTTTGGTTATTTACACGTGTTTTGAGAATCTTTCCTGTGATTTCGCACAGGCGCCTGGTGACAGGCAACTACAGACCAACATTTTTGTCGGGCTGATCTTGACTTAGCAGCTATTGTTCACAGATCATGTGTCTTGCGTGCTTTGTAGGAGGTGTGGTAGAGAAACTGTACTCCTGCCTCAAACAACCAAAAGAATCAGCTTTACCTCCTGATAAATACAGGTAAACATGTCCAGGGCATTTAAACACATTTTTGGAATGTATAAGTGTGTGTGTACCATTCCAACATGTTGTAATAAGCAGCTGACTGCTGTCTTGTTCAGGAAACCATTATTGCCTTACTTCCTAGTCTTAAAGCATGATCTTTGTTCCACTTTGTATCTTCTCTTTGTTACTTGTATCATTTCACATTATGTGCCAATAAATCAATAAGCTGACTAGAAATTTGAATCAAAGCTCCGTGAATGGAAATAAGAACTTAATGTTAACACAGTGAAGCAAAGCAAAGCAGATTAATGCCTTATTTACACCACAATCTTGTGACAACTGCACAAGCATCGTCACAAGACATGTGACAACATTTTGAATTACTAGAGATAAGAAAACATTGGTATGAGAGCGATGATGACATGAACAAATCATCAGATACCATGACAAATACCTATATGTGCATATCACTATTGACATCAACTAGGTTGGTGATCATTTTTCCCAAATATTGTGCGGAAAATAATTCTATTTGCCATTAAAAAGGTTTACCAAGCATTAAAGAGATCTCTGTGGTAAAAAACAATGACTGTGATGGGTGATGGTTACAAAAGAATTTCAAAGGCAATAAAAAATACCAAGAAATACGATTAAGAAATGAATTGTCAGCAGAAAAGAATGGTACAACGCAAGCCTAATAAGAGTTTGACTGCAGCATGAACTTCAGAGATTTACAGCAAGTACTGGTTTTGGTCTTGATTTTTAACCATTATGAAGGAGGCTTTACAACAATGTGCCTATATTCTGGTACTAAAAGTATGCCCAAGCTTCAGGAAAGGACTACCACCCATAAGATAACATTTCTTTAAGTACACAGATGTGCTCTGACAAGTCCTTGTCTCTCAAGTCTCCCTCTCCAACTACACCAGACACTTTTTCATTCTCATATTCTCAGTTCTTATAGACAAGTAAGTTATTGTGTCAGACTACACAAAGGATCATTCAATACCCTCTAGTGTTTACTTTTCAGCTGTGTTTGTTTGCCCTCATTATTAACCTTCATTACCACCACCCGACACCGCTACTTCTGCCACTCTTGCTTCTGGACTAACAGGCCAAAGGTAGTGGAAAATAAGTTTGGAAACAATGAGTAATTGGGTGAGTCTTGTGATGACATAATCTATAACCCTCAGTGACAGAGGCTCACATGGAGAAAACAAGTGTCCTTCTTTGATTTCTAAAAAACTGAAATCCTTAGGTTAACTATGTGAAATGACTCAGTTATGGAAAATGTGCTTTTTTTTACCATGTCCTTAATGTGAGGAAATGGTGGGAAATAGAGGCTGTAATGGAGCATTCTGCACACTAATGGACAAGGAGAGAGCAAAAAAGTAGAGAAGTGTAGGCTTTGTGGTAAACAGGGAATAGGAAGGAACGACTAACTTCAGCCTGAACGAATTGGTTAGATGCAGTAATGCAGTCTTCTTGGCAACTTGCTCCAGCCTATTGACAGGGCCGGGAAAGAGACAGTGGGACTGGGAAAAAAGGGGAGGTGGAAAATTTACATTACTAAAATGAAAGACAGAGGTGGCCTACATCCTTTTCCTCTGTGCATATAAATATATAAAACCAGACTGCTCAGCTCAGGTGAAATGGTAACATGAAATAGTTGTAACTAACAAGTAACTAAACTAAATATTTGTCAGCTTTACTCCAACTCAATACAACCAAATACTGTATGTTTGTCAAGAGGATTTTTCAGACACAAACTATGCTTAGCAGTAACCTAGTTAGTCAAAATTCTAAAGAAACAGGGTGATGTCCTTTTATTCAGTTCAGTTCTGTAACGTACAAAAGTTATGCACAATGCTTTGAAATTTTGCAATAAAAGATAAATACATAGAAAAATTGACATCCCTGGGGGGGGTGTAACAGAAGTTTGGTACATTGTGCAATAACTTAAGAACAACAGAACACTCCGTAAAATAATTCATTTAAGTGTGTTATGAATACCACTAAGGGCTTATGCATTTAAGTGTGACGAGTGTCAGCATATTTACAGTGTTCATTTGGACGTGACGAGTGTCAGCATATTTACAGTGTTGTAAAATCATTTGGACTAAGTTAAATGGGGTTAAATGAGTTGCTGAACAACAAACCAAGTACACAAAGCAGCCAGAGGCAAAATCATTTCCATGACTATTAAACATGTTTAGCATGAGGACATCGATCGATTTGCTATTTATTGTGAGACGAATTTCCATATAAACAATATTAAATTTAAACAAATTGCTGTATTGTTACTGTTCTTCGCTTTGACGACACAACAACGCCATTGCCTGGCATAATACGCAATAACTAACAAACTTCATCTAAGACAATATTAGAAATGTATGTGATGCTGTTTTATAAATAAAGACCTTTTTGTAGCGTTTGTGGAATTTTAGGGTCGAATAACTGAATTGTCAGGTCATTGGACTCGTTTGCTAATAAACGTTAGCCCACGCCATTAACAGTTAATCTTGGGCTGTTAGTTTTTTTCCAACACAGAAACAAAGTTTAAAATAAAACACTTACGTGATATCAAAACAGCTTGAGCAGGTGTGTAAACGCAAAGAAAAAACAACCTATGCAGCGTTTCTTTGTTCCGACATTAAACAACAGGAAAACAGCTTACAGCTAACCTTAGCCTAATGTTAGCCTGTTAGGTAAACGAAACGTACAAGAAACCGTTAGCTGGAGCTGCTAACTAGCCTTTGCTAATGATGATATCTTCTTAAAGGCGTTCTTACCTTTTATGTCTTTTTTGTTGATTTGGGGTTAAAAACGATAGTGAATCGCAGGCAGCGAGTGTATATTTCGTGTATATTTCTATTGTTTTAATCCTGTTTGTCCTCTCCTCGCTCCTCCAGCCACTGTTTCTTCGTCGTTTTCAGGCAGTACTGGAGGGGAATTCTGGAAAATGATGTCACTGCTTCCTGGTCCCTGTATCCACGTCAATCAATGTTGACGACGGAAACCACGCCTCTTATTAGCACGTGATCTGTCCAGTATATAAAAACGACAACAAAATTTGGGGCTTGTTCTGAGTCGTTGACTGTTGTTAAATTGTGTTTTGTGTGGGCTCAGCTGCACCAGAAAAGATGGATCCCTTTGTTCTAAGAGATACGACGTTTTTATGTCAGGATGCAGAAGGCCGTTATGCACGTGGAGTCTTGTCAATGACTTTTTATTAAAATTAAAAACATTTTCTCTTAGCGTGGAGTCTTGTCAATGACTTTTTATTATATTATTGCTATTATTGCTGTATAATAGTATATTATTCTTTTTTACTTTATCTGTTGTTTAACATGTGTTAAACCTGTGGCTGTGACGTGGATTTTCTGTGGGGTTAATAAGATGTTGTCTTATCATATTATTTCTTACAGTGTCTTATCTTTATTTATCTTACCTTATGCCACCGTATCTTATCTACGGTGTCTCCAAAAGTGTTAACTGTATATATGTCTGCTTTTGATCTGTATTGTTTATTTTAATCCGATAAATAAAGATTGAGAAATCAGGGCCAACTCCACATTTTTACATTTTGAATAAAACTTCAATTTAAACGTGTTAAAATGATTGAAGTTTTGCTTATTTCAGGCCTTTGAAGACGAAAAAGGAGCAAAAAACCTTTCTCTGCTTTCAGAAGTGTTCAGAGATGCGGTGAAGGGGCAATCTTTTCTTAACACTGTTCTGCTATATGTTATTGTATGGAAGGTGCGACTTACAGCAAAAATTAGTAACGTCACCGCTAGAAACAGAAAACCCTGACACCCCTGTATATATAAACACACCCCTTTCACCTTCCTTCAGTCATTACAGTAATTCACATTTCAATTCCGCTTTACTTTTTCAGTAGAGAGAAAACACTGCCAGTCATGTGGAGAGCACTTCTTTTATTTTAAATATGTCATCATTGGTTTAGCCTGCATACAGTAACATTATCAGCACATAACTACACAGTACAGAGGTGGACTGCTGCCACACCAGCCAATATGTAACATGGACAGCCATAGTCAGTATCTGACAGCCAGGCCAGCGATTACCTTCATTTAAACTCCATTTAAAACTATTTATTTGAAATACAAAACTGTGAGGATGCCCGTGTGTCAGCATCTGTTTTTTTTTTAATTCTACAACCACATAGACTGTAGTTAGGCAGCGTGGTACTTAAATGGTCCTGGCTAAAATAAAAGGAAAGAAATATTACAAAGAAAAAGAAGAACAGATTATGCATCATCATTGATTATACATACATTTACTTCATCAGTTGTCAGAAATAGAAAGTTGGCATCTGAAAAATACATAATCATTGAAGTTTGTTACACAAAATATGTTCAGGGGAGGTCACAATTAGATTGACACCTCACCGCCCTTCAGCTGTAAATTTCAAGCATTTTCCATTTTTCTAGGAAGTAAAACAAAATCCAATAGATGTGCAATCACTGTGAATCCTAACTTAGCGCTGTTCTGCCTGTGTATGGCTTTAAATGGGGTTTAAAAAGATGAAAGAGCGTTAATGATGCAAAGAAACCGCAAAGCGTTCAACATCTATGTTCAGGCCTTGAAACATGCAGACGGGGGTAAACTAGTGACCACGTGTCTAGTGAGACAATTTAGGCACACATTAGGAATATCTACAACTGGGACTGCTTCTCCTCACACACAGATTACTCCTGAGGGGCTTTTACAATTTCACAATGACAACCCAGTGGCATTTGACCAGTTTTAACATGGTTCTTCGTGAGACCTGAGGTTAAGCCACAAATTCCAATTTTCCAGTCACATCTCTCAGTTTCATTTCATTTGATTCTAATCTTTCAGCTGGATATAAATGTGTGCTTTTCATTTTCTTTTCTTTTTTTTCCTGAAATAAAAGTAGCATCAGCTCTTCAACGTTACAATTGGCTCATTGGCATTGTGATAATTGTCGAAGCGAGTGTTTTGTCGGTGTTTCTTAAGCATTCTAACTCTTTCCAGAAGGAAAAAAAAACATTGCAAAATTAAAGCGTAACTCAAAACAATTTAAGATTAACACATGGTTAAAAAAACAAACAAACACAGAGTGTCATAGTTTAATGAAATAAGTAGTGGAACTATAGGCTCAAGTCTTATATAGGATCAAGTGCAGACTCTTCTCTGGACACCCAAGTAGGAAGTCACCTGTAAGGACGACAAGAGAGGACGTCAGGTTTTAGGACAGAAAAGGAATGGTTTCTCAGGACATAGTCAGGCATTAAAATGAACATTAGATCAGGGGCCTGATCATCATTCTCCAGTAAATCCTCACGTTCCCTAAATACACGCTCCCGTCTTATTGTGAGATGTTCTAAAAACACTACCGCTGCAATCGTTAACAACATTTCTTCACTTGTGGCATTCTTTCACATCCACCCATATAACTGCAAACACATTTGTAAGTTAATCATTCATAAGTGTTTTTTTGTTTTGTTTTTTACATTATTAGCAGACTCCCAGCATGCCAAAGGCGTGAGGACCGCACATTTCTACGATCATTTCAATTTTGAGACATCTGAAAGTTAGCGTGGAAAAGGACGTACGACACTTTTTGTGCATTCGCAACTTTGATACATCAGGCCCCAGGCCCCAGAATCTTTGCGTACCGCCCTTTTTCACGATGAAATCTACACACGTTTACTACATCAGGCCCCATCTCTCGATGATAAGGACTTATTTGCAGCTCACAGCACATATTTTTCTGTGGAGCTCTATAAAGCCCACCATGCCTTTTGGAGATACTGTTGCAGTGTGTAATTCCATTGAAAATGTTCTGCTTCTCTCTTTTGCTTTAAAGCTGGTTATGATCCTACAATAGTGCTGAACAACCTTGGCCAAGAATGAACAGCTTTGTAAATAAGAAGCGGCATTTCTGTGCACTACAGCGATCTCATCCTCTCTATCTCTATTACAGCATTCATTAAAGTGTTTCACCTACGAGGATAGATTGGTTAAAGTGCCTGTGATTGTGTATATCGGGGGAAACTGTAACTATCCGCTCGTGAGTCAAATGTTTATCCAGCTTGTTGTAGCGACAAGTTTGGTTCACCCTAAGTCACCATAAGGCCTAGAGAGATTGAAAACATACTTACACAACACGAACGAAAAAAAGGAAACAGGCTGCTGACTTGTCTCATTCCAGTCCCAGCAGTTCAACATCAAATATAAGGGTGGCATTGGGAGGAATGATGCCTGGATGACCTTTGTTTCCATAGGCGTAGTCAGGTGAACAGGTCAGTTTGGCCCGTTGACCCACACTCATCTGTAGGAATGAAAAGAAAGAGGATTCCGATATAAACAGATGGATAACTTTCATTCTGACATTAACTGGTTCCATTACTTTAAAAATGCAGTATATTTATTTAAAGCAGTCAAAACTAGTGCTTTGAATATGCAATGGATTTGCAAAGCTAACAGTTTGACCCACCTGCACCACTCCCTCCTCCCAGCCGCGGATTACTTCCTGTTTGCCAATTTTGAACTTGAAGGGCTTGTCCCTATCACGAGAGGAGTCGAACTTGCGTCCATCTGTCAGGGAGCCTAGGGAAGAAAAAAAAAAAACAGAGACAAGAGTAAGAATCTTCACAAACTTATCTGATCAGGATCAGTTCTGTTACCAGAAATACTTTCTGGAATTTCTGTTATATTCATCTTATATTACATTCATATTCATCCCAATACTTTCGCTAGTTTTTCACAGGCTCTTGTGACAAATCTTGACAAGTAAAGACATCACACTATCCCTATGGACAATCACATCCTTTCAGCCTGTCTGTCTGGCAGCCATCTTCCTTCCTGTGTGTATATTGAGAGTTCCAAAAAAAAGAAGGAAAAAGATTCCGAGGATGGCAGAAATAGCCTCGGTGCAGCTGTCTGTGGAGTGGGTTTCAGTGTGACACCGGGGACAGCATCAATCTACAGAACAGCGGCTCTCCAAGACTGTCTACACCAGTGATAATACTGTTATTAGCACCAGAAAGGCTGAATGTGTAACCGTGTATTTAGTGCGCTGGGGTGTGTATGAGTGTGTGTGGGAGATGATCCTCTGCAACAATGGTGCACGATGTTGGGCACATGAGAAGGTGGATGACAAGATGAAGCCTTTTATCAGTGGGTGGAGTGGGCATCGTATCCACTTATGGCTGTTCTAGATAACAGCAAATTGGATTGCCTGAAAGGTCATATCCAAGTATCAGCTTTGTCCAGTTTACCAAAGAATACCAATGAGTCAACATTTCCTTGTACTAACCTTCTCCTTCTGAAGAATATTTCCAAATCCGAGGTTTTAATCTAGGATCTAGGTTTTAAACTAGGATCATCTAAGACTGTTATTAAGTTTCACAACATATTTTAAAGGATGTTTTGTAAGCTGACAGGAAGTGTGACTGCTGAGAGAGGAAATCCTGCGGTTTACGACATATTTAAAAACAGAAAACAGACGAGAACGCAGGCTCGTAGGTGAACATGTAAATCTAAAGTTATGTCTGAAGGAAAGAGGCTCCGGTTACAGAGCTATGACTATCTCGTCAGAGGAGGCCTCACACTGGCTTTGCCAAACCAAGAACAGGTGCAGGGAAAAAATACAGCCTCATATACGGACCGTGTACAAGAAACGGTTGTAGCCACAGTGTTCTAAATGTGAGGCTGAGGAAGTAGACCGGGAACAGCACTGAATCATCAGGGAGAGTCGCTTTGTTGCAAAATAATTAAATTCTAATGAAAGTCTATAAAAACAATAGGCCACTCCTCATTTGAGAACTTTACAGTCCTGAGAACTGAGACTAATTTTGGGTTTAATCAAATGAGGATTACTACAAAATCCACTAAATTAATACTTCTTTAAAAGATCTAATGGTAAAGTACTACACTGAAGCAATAAAGCTGCACTGCAAAGACTAGGTCTAATCCATGACTAATTTTTTAAGAACTATCGTTGACAGTCAACTAATCAATTGGACTAACTTTCTTTATAGTTTTCTTGCTACGCTACGACAGCTTGCCAAATTATGGGTTGAAGACAAACACAAAATGTGAGATTGCTATTTTTTTTTCTAAAACCAAAATGTCACAATTATCCAAATTGTATGAAACCAAAAAAATATTTTTTTTTTAAACAATTGACAAAAATGGCTAGCTAAACTCACACTCTTAAACTGGAGATTAACATTAATGATTAATGTACAAGTGTTTCTCCCACGTAGCAACACAAACTTTGTCTTCGTGGTTTCCGTGTGGCTGTCTGACAGCAGGATACCATGTGAATACTGTCTGAATGTGGGACACATACTGTAAGTATGTCATTATTTCTGTTACCCAGACGGTTTATAATAATCCTCTCAACTAACCCGACACCCCTCAACCCACCCACGCCCACACACACGCACATGAACTCACACACGCGCGCGCACACACACTGAGAAAATCCAACAAAGCCAGAAGCGTTGGATATCAGACAGGATTTATCTGTCTGTACTGTGTTTGTGTGTGTGTGTGTGTCTGTGTTAGGGCTGAACAACCGAATGAAAATGAAGGCAGTATTCCTAACAAATCTCTGAGTCAAACATCTGGACGGTCTGTCCATTTCTTCGAGAACTGTCTGAGTGTACGTCTGGTAAATTTGTAAAGTTAGAGGCCGTCGCTACGTCTTAACGCCTGTGCTGAGTCTGTGTCTTCATGTGTCTGAATGTGTAAGTGGTCGGTCTGTCTGTCAGTCTGCCCATCTGTCTGTCTGTCTGTCTGTCTGTCTGTCTGCATGAGCTGCATGTCTGTGTGTCTAAATGTGTGAACTCGCCTGTCTGTCGGTTTGTCTAAAATATATGTCCCCAGAGCTGCCTGTCCACACACTCGGACAGGAGTTTCTGTTCTTTTTGTGTGTGTGTGTGTGTGTGTGAGCCCTGCAGCAGAATCCGCCTCCGCCTCGTAATTTTTTTTTTTCAATTTTCCCCACAGACAATGAGCACAGTGCTTGATGACAATCTGTAAATGACTGTTTGTCCCATTATTTTTCACAATGATAAATTTAGAGCACTGGCTGTTCCCTCACTCCAACATCACCCCCCACCACCGACACTGAACTCTGCTGAAGCCTCCCTCCTGATGCAGCTACTGCACTGTCCTAACTACAGATCATATATAAGCCAAGGACGAAGCTTCTCCCACTGCAGGTCACCGTTGTAGAATGAAGCCCCTGAAGGTCTTCCTCTGAAGGTTCAGAATCTACCTTTCTATGAAAATATCATTGATTATTCCTTCTGCATTTTGAGAAATATAGACCCATATATAGAAATATATAGATCAGTGACGGCTACATCCCAACACTAACACCATTCCCTAATAAAATGAAGCGGACCAAAACCACCTACTCGATTATTATTTTAAATTTACCAGTCATGAGGACTATGTATGACAAAGCCATAAAACAGTGTCTGCCAGCGGGCGCTGTTTGGCCTGGACATTAGGCAACATTCATCTTCGTCTCCTGAATCACATCAAAATCACAGATCTGACAACACAATTCCACAAATTCACAAAGCCTCGAGCGGCCCATATATGGGTCAGTCTAGTTTTTTGGACTGTTTCTGTTTGCCAATATGAGACCAACATTTGCCAATGTGGCCCGATCCGATGGCATCACTCCACACCATATGTACATAAAAACATGGCAACATATGCTTCCGTTTTGTAGGCCAGAGATACAGTGAGTATATAACACAGTGAGCACTAGTTTGTCCTCACTCGCTTACTCATCATCATCTGCTTCACTTGTATTAAGAAAAAAATATATATACATTGTTTGATAGAAGACCTGAAACAAGCATTCTAAACCTGCCTGATAACAACCTCTGTCCATTTCTTATTAACAGTCAGTGGGGCTCATCAACCGTTGAGTCAAAATTCCAGAGGTCTCCTGTATGAATGTGATGAAGGGGTTAAATTTTTTTACCCAGATACTGACAGTCAGGCACTCTCTACTCTAGTGAGGGAAATCGCTGCGTGCAAAAAAAGACTGCACACACTGGTGGAACAGGACTTGATTCCCAGTATGCGCTGCATATATTGATATAAACAGTAGAGCTTCGGACGCTGCTGCAGTGAATCCATGCATTCATTCATTTACAGCTGCATGAGACAAGTCTGCATGTGCGGCCTTCATAATTAGCAGCAGCAGCAGCAGCAGCAGCAGTGGACTCAGCCTCAGTAAATCATGTGCAGAGCTGCATCCACTCGTGCAGCAGAGGAACTCACCCACATAATGCACCACGCACGTCTGTCCTTTCTTGGGAAAAGTCCTTCCTGCGAAATGAACGCACACATTAATACATATATAAATAGACTCGGCGGCTGCATGGGTTACGAGGAAACGTTACGAGGGACAGTGTTAAATACAAACACGTTGTGTTTCCTCTTAACAGTCGGTTAGTATTGGGGGTTTCTTTTTATATGAGAACTGTTGTGTTGTGCAGCCGCTTTACCGTCCCCAGGGCTGATCGTCTCGACTTCCACTCCCATGGTTCCTCTCGGCGATGAGCTGTAGAGCTTCTGCCTGCGCCCGGAGACTCTTCCTCCCGCAGCCTGTCTCTGTCTGTGACTGTGAGCTCCAACTCCTCCTCTTTTTCCCACTCCTCCCCCTGCTCTCTCTCCCTGTACTATGTCTCCCTCTCTCCTGCAGACAGGCCAACGTCAACCTGTTAAATTACACAACACTTTCCACCTAACGTTTCATTAAAATAATATTAATTATTATAGGTGATGTCATTAATAATAATATTTTGCAATAATAATAATTATTAGTATTGTTATTATTATTATATCATCATAATAATGCAACGTCCAGATTAGGCCTAAACCTTAAACTCCAATTTGACATCCGGATGTGCCACACTTACGGTGACCACTAGTTGAACCAGCAGCATTGGGATCATTTGTACTGGTCTTTGATATCATTTATTTCTAAATAATGTGTGTGCCGCGGGAAATTATCCAATTTCACTTAATTGGTTTGAAAACTATTTTTATTTATATTTTATAGAGACAGGCAGAACGATTTGATACTCTTCCACTAGATGACAGCAGATGATTATGAAACTATCTTTCTGTCTCAATTCCTGCACTTATACCAGCATAGTATTCAACTAAACAGGCCAAGGTTTCACTCTGAGTTTGTAAATTGTGTCATTTTCAACAAAAATATTATATCATTAGATATACTGTTTGTGGCATTTTGTTTAATGGTCCAAACAGTGTTAAATAGCTGACTTTTAGGTTTCACATAGCACCACATATTGACCTTCAACATGTACCTGACATATGTATGTATGTATGTACAAACCAATACAAATTATTTCCATGGGGTTTTGACATCCTTTGTTTTTTGCTTCTTTTGCTAATTATTCTAAATGCTATTTTTTTTCATTTATTAGTCAATAGTTAGCTATTTTTATGTTAAAATTATTTTTTTCTCATTATCAGTAAGTCTGCAGCAAATTTCATCTTTTTTTTTTTCTGATACAATGATGTAAGATGGGCTTATTAAATTGTACTTGGTCCTATGGCACTAAAGTGTAAGTCAGACTCTTCTGATGTTTGTGATGTCCTACATTGCGAACTGTTAGTGTAGGTCAGTCGAGGACCCCCTGTACTTATAATAGTACTTGTAATGGATTACTTTGAAATACAAAAAAATATTTTGTACTATATTGATCCCATATTTAGAAACGATACGCTGTTGACAGGCTGCCCCCAGCAGGCACCAAGCATGTGGTTCCTCTGGGTATCAAACCCAGGATTTTCTGCTCTCTGGTCCAGAGACAGACGTGCTACCTGCTACACTGTGGAACCACTTGCAACACATTCAGTTATCAGACATTGTGCAGCGATTTGTAAGACATGAAATCCTCACTGAAGATGACCCATAATCAAAACAGAAACAATCAAAATGTTTGGGTGTTTTTCATGCAAAATTGAAATGAAATGAGCCTTTATACTGCCTCTTGTACTTGTTCGTATCTGTTGGCTGTGATAAAAAAAAGAACCAAATGCTATCATTCTGGGACTATAATAGATACTGTACATTAAAATAAAAACACATTTTACATCAACCATAAAATGAATTTATTTTTCTTTTCAGGAGGTCCAAACATTTTTGTGTGTCCCTATGATGCATAGAACATGTCAGTGTTTCATAGGAATTTAGGTTCCACTAATACAAACAGGTTTACAATCTAGTTTTTTTTTTTTTTTTGTCTTGATGGTAAAGGTGCGTGGAACTGTGAGGGTACCCAATATCAAAATGCACAACTGGGAAAACATTAGATTCTATAAAGGGAAAATAAAATAGAGGAATGAAAGGGACCGGGCAGCTTCACACAACTACCAAGGCAATTATTTAGATTTCTTTGGAAAATGTTTCTATTTTCCACTGAACGATCCCTGTGGGAAGAACTACTATCATACCATCACTCTCCTGATGTCTGACTTGATGTCAGACACCCAGCTGGCAAATAACTCAGCACCTGATAATGACAACACTAAAGGAGTTAAACTACTTTATGAGAAAAGCAAACAGGGAAAGGGTTAATAAAGGCTGGGCTTTTGTTCTCAAGTATTCATGTCTCCATCAAAACCACAATCAGCAACAGCATTTGCAACTTTCAAAAATCCAGAAATCTCTCCTCTTTTTTTTTGTGTGGAAGTTTTGGCCCCCATGCTTACTGCCTGTGAGTTAGGTGTGAGGCAGGAGTGATGGTGGTGGGGAAGCAGGATGTTACATTTGACTTGAAAAAAATAAAACAAAACAAAACAAAAAATCAGAAATTAGAAGTCCATACACAAGTCTGTGTTTTTTCTCCTCCCTCAGAAGGGGCAGCAGGTTTAACATGGCTGCGGTAATAAGTCACACCAGCAGAGGGCAATCGTATACGTCTTGACAGCTTTACTTTAGCCGCTGGGTGACGACAGCGTTGAGGAGGTTGGCCTGCTCCAACGTCTGGCTCTCATCCAGCAGCTCCTTGCTGGGGAAGAAGGTGGTCATGAGGATGAACTCCCTGGCAGCCATGGCTGGTCTGGCTGCAACCAAAAACTGCCGCAGGTCAGACACCCTGAGGAACATAGAAGGATGTAGAAAATAAAGCTTCATGGGAATTTGCCTTTTAGATCCAGTGTTTTGTATATACATCTTATTAGAACTTCTGTTGATTTTCACGAATTAAGAGGGATTTTAAGAGCAGCTGAACACAATGCCAGTCAATGACTTGTGCCTTAATATGTACATATTACATCACACAGTTGTCTTCAAATGAAATTAACATTGTAATGCAAAAGTATTACTTAAATCATACAAAAATACAATTACAATGATTTAGCATACATTAATTTATTCATTAAAATGTCAGCTTTAGATTAGAAATTTTACAAAGTAAATGTTGATCTTGTCTTTATTGTGTGGGAAAATCCCACTAAAACAACACTCAGAACTTCCATTTTCCATTGTTTCTCCACTACCTGGATGAAAACTCTGCAGTCATGTAACAGTTCTACTGAACCACATCTGTCCAATCTCTAAATGCTTGATAAATCGAATGTTACCTGTGTGTATGGTTAAACTTTTGCACCAGCCTGCCACCGTCAGCCAATCGAATCTGGATGTTTGTGACCGGCTGTGCGTAGTCGAGGGACACTGATGCGATGGCTTGAGCTTCGTTGACTGCCTGATCTTGCTGAAAAGAGGGTGGAGCTGTCACCAACTCTGGGGTGGCACTAAAGTTTGGGTGAGGATGATAAGAAAGAGATACAAGTTGACATTCTTTCAAGCATGAATCTATTAAAAAAAATGCCATTGTGAGACGACAGAAACAATGCTGTGTTTTAAAATTGATGTGCTGTAACAGTTAACAGTAAGATTGATGGCCTAATTATTAAAAGCCAATCATTAACTCAAAGGCAGAGTCCAGAGACAGACTTCAGATGATTCATTACTCTGCAGAACTGGTATGACTAGTTATCCAGCCATTACTGCAGCCTATCATTACATGTAGCTGCTCCTGTCAATATAATTGTTACTTACTGTTAAATGAATATGAATGAGTATAGCAAAAAGACTTGTCAACCATACCTTCCTAGCTTCTGTCCTTCTCCAACAAAGGCCTTGAAGGCAATTCTGGGTTTGATAAAGTCCTCATCCCTGTGGTCTTCCATGTCCAGGTTGACCTGCCCACCTCTGGAACGCTGCCTCAACTCAAGTGGAATCTCACTGCAGGGGGATTATTGCTCATTTTTAACATTGTTGCTAAACACTAGCCCATACAGACACACATGCATAACGTGCACCACAGAAGATAGGCCTGAAACAAACGATTCTCACCCTCGTCTGATTGCCTCCAGGAAATTGGCATTTCCAGGATCACTGTAGTTTCGGAGCTCACCATTATCAAGACTGAAACCGGTCTTCCACAATTTAAGCACCACATGTACCTAAAACAAACAATTTTAAATTAAGACATAATCATTGGTGCTGTCCCTTGTGGTCTGAGGAAGATTGTTAAAAAAACAAAAAGAAAAACAATAATGATTCTTCACTTACATCCTGCTGACTGCTGGAGGCTCGTCTCTCTCCAGCCACATAGGTCGACTCCTCCTCTGGAGCTGCTCCTAGTCTGTAGCCTCCACCAACAAAGGCCTAGGTGATTTGAAACCAGAGTAAATACAACGCTGATACTATTGTAACAAAAAATATTTGAACCAAATCAAAATCTTCTCTTCACCCTGGCTTTACTGGGTTCTCCAAGCCCCTTTCCAGTCCGGTCCAGAGGCACAGCTCCATGTTCTCTGGCTCCTTTGAACAGATCCTCCACTACCTCATTAGAGCTTTTCTTCTTGGGAGGTCCAACAATCTGCTGCCCACTGCGCTCTGACCCTCCAGCAAAAAACCTGAAGAGTAACACGACAAGGCAATGATTCAAGAATGCAATATTTTATAAGGCAACATGCTGAAATGGAAATATTATCAATTACATAAAAAGCATAAATACCACAAACTAAAAACAAATTCTCATTTTCAGCTATGGAGAGTTTCAATTAAAATGAAATGCAATGCCATTAGTGGAGAAACACACTGCAGCTTATTCCAGCTGAATCTGATAATGCTGCAGAGAAGAACCAAGGTTGGTAAGCAGTGAATAAAGTAACCAGTACTGTGAGGATTGAAAGTGCAGATGGAAAGTCACATAGCACAGCATAGTTTAATTTGAAAAAAAAGAAGAAAAAAAGAAAAAGAAACCACTGAGGTGTTGACCTTACAAACTCAGTTAAAACTGTAAATTCAAAAAAGAGATTTTTTGCTTTTAACTTACAAGGTTGTAGCTACTATGATAAAGCAAATCTGAAAACACGACTTATGATTTATTGAAAATACCTGCCTTAATGCAATTTTGTCTCTGTTGACTTGTTTGCTCTATCCTAAGAACAGGATAGAGCAAACATTCTTACTCTACTCTTGTGGATTCAGATCCCAACAAGTGAGCCTCTGGTTAAATTGTTTCTTTCCTCATATTTTTCTACAACTGGGCCAATGTTAATGCAGATATCAATAAGATTACAGCAAGTGGCTTTTTTTTTCAGGTCAAGTCAAACATGACTGTTTACATTCTAAACACTACTACTAGTACTTTGTCATTTAGTAAAAGGAAAACAGAAAGGAACATCTCTTCATCAATTCCTAGTACATCCAGTACTTTCTTTGTTTGGGGCAAAGCTATAAGCCTTTAACAGAGAAGAGTGCAAAGAAATACTGCTTACCTTTGACCCTCCTCCTCATCACTCTCCTCTTCAGCCTCATGCATCAGGTCCCTGAAGGAAGTCACCCTGGGCTGCGAGCTGATATTAAAGAGATATAATGTAAGCCTTAACTGACGTATCAAAACCTAACTGATAATGAGAAGCAAGCCAGTTATTTAACTCCCATCATCAGATGTATACGAACTGAACTGCACACTACCTGGGTCCTGTAGACCGAGACACTGAGGAACCTCCCTCAGGTTGAGGGAGTGTCACTATGTCGTCATCATCAGCTCCATCTTCAAAAAAACTGGCGAGCGCGAGCTGACAGGAGGCAAAGTTCATACAGCAATGTTACAAAAGCAACCTGGCAAACCTGTGCTGGTCCCTCCCTAGAATGTCACCTAGAATATGTTTACATCAATGAAGGGCTTTAAAGGCTTAAATAAGTCATGGGCACAATGACTTAGGCATTCTTGATTTACAGTTGGATCATGACAAATCTAGCATCCACTAACTGTGATCACTTTAATTTTGATTAGCAAATACAACGCACTTCTCCATATAGAGGTCCAATTTGAGGTTCACTGTGTACATGTTACTGACAATTAATATTATTATTGACATTAAATATACTCAGTGGTCAATTGCAAGGTCTGGAGGCTGAATCTACAATTTGTTAGTAGTAATGATGTGCAAACCCTCAGAATAGATTGTGAAAAAGTGTGTACAATAGTCCTGACAAGCATATTTCAAAATAATAGAAAGTGAAAAGAGGTATTCTGAAAAGACTGTCGGATGTAAACATAGGGCCTTTGACAAACATTATACTGTAAATAATATAGGAACATAGAGGAAATATATATTAGGATCATGACAATAGGATCATATATAAAGTGAGCAAGTCGTTAGTTTCCTTTCTCACTGGAATGATTCGAGTAGCAAAGCAAACTATAATCGAAACAGAAACTGCATTACAATAGCTTTACACAATTGACTTAATCAAATTTGTGAATAAACTGTCATCTACATCAGGTTGTTCAAAAGACGTGCGCTCCAATCGGACAAATTATTTCACACCATTAAGATCCAATTGCAAGTGCACACACGGGACACAATTCCTTGTGTGCACAAATGTCTGCATAGATACATTACAAAAAAATACGATTCTTCTTCTAATCCAGCATCAGATGCTAAGGCTAATTAGCCCAGTTTCAAAGGACTCTTGTCAGACGTTAGCCACTGACTTATCGTGGGGCATAACATATAAATTAAGAGACAAAGACGTCGGTAACTTAGTAAAACAGCAGCATGTTTCGTTTGTGAGCTATTCATTGGCCTGGCTGATGTTGACAGGACGCAGTGAGGCCATTGCCAAACAGTGACTTGCACAAATTGCCGGCACAACCGCTAGCCAACGTTAGCCCAGTGAGCTAATGGTCCCCACACGTACATGTTCTTTCCGCTAACTTTCCATTGAAACAAAAAGATGGAAAACAACGCAACTTTTTGGTACAGCGTGGAGAAGACCGACCTGCAAATTCCAGCCCGCAGACTCCAGGAAGAACCTGGCTCTGTCCTCATCCACATCAGTAACGGCGACGAACTCCCTCACAGACTCTTCTTGGCTCGCCATTTTTACTTGCTCCTTCCGCGTCTTGTCCGCCTCCACCTGGGGAAACAAAGAACGGACATTATTGGTTCCTATGTAGCCTCAAACCAGATGCAATCCACCACGCCGACCTATAACAAATTAAAAATGCGTACTGGTTCTAATTGTTTTATTAATAAAAATGACAGTTGATCTTTTTGGTAAAGAACTTAAGGATTTTCTAAATTGTGACAACACCTTTCTGACACGGTTTATAGCAATGTTAGTTTTTACCAATAGAGGGCATCCTCATCTCAGGTTTTTTACAATAGAGCAACTGTTAGACTGTGTGTGGAATCGAGGACCTACAAACATTTACATTCTTGCATTACATTTTATTACACTTTAATATGATTATTATTTGTGTATTTTCTTTCTTATATCTTTGGCCTAGTTTTTTTTGCACTGTTGCCTCTCACCTCCTGGAAGTTGAACCACATCCCTGTTTTTTTCTTCTTCTGCGGCCTAAACCTTTGCATTTATTTTTGTGTAGAGCTGTACACTATTGGTTTGAGTAAGATCTTTATAATCACATGTTAATTCTCCAAAACCAAGTACTACTGTAAGTACTACATACTTGCTATAGTACTATAGCATAATTATAAAATTTTAAAGGTCAAAAACTTTTTCCATGATCAAAGACCATTTGACATGAAAGTTTTTTTTCTCTGTCTGTACAGTTCAAATGTGAAACCCAAGTTGTTGTCCTGTGAAGCACCAGCACATGGCTTCGCATGTAAACAACAAACTCGGCAAAATAAATATACACCACACCACATAGCTCAGGATTTTATAATATGAGCTTTCCCCTTTCAGTGTTTTAAGCTTCGGGGTCTGTGAGATGATTCAATACCACCCAAAACATGAGTAAGAGAGAGGAAGATGTGAAAGAGAATGATTAAAATGAGGTCTTATTAAATGTTGAAAGATGATTTAAAATGTGGGTGATGTAGCTCAGTATGCAGAGTGGATTTGTTTCAAACCAGAGGGACGTGGTACAAATTACAGGCTCTGAAGTGCTGATGTGAACATGTCCCTAAATCCTATAGCTACATAGAGTATGTTTCTGTTTAGCAACATTTTAAAAAACAAGAAAAAATTCAACTGATATTTTTAATCATAAAACCATTATAATAGCGGATAAAAGATTGAAATGGATCGAGGGAAAAGAATCAGCCCATGGGGTTGATCATAGCCTATGTTAAAGCCTATGTTAATGGAAATTTCCATTCAAATATTTTCATCCCAAATGTCCATTATAGTTTAGTGTATCAGCATTTTAATTGCTCGCTTTAGTCTGTGCTTAAAAAACAAAAAGGTTTCTCATGACATTCTTGAAATGTTTCTCATGTGTAAAGCTTCCTCAGTGTTCCATCCACACACCTGTGTCCATAACCGCGGTCATAGGTTGACAGCAGGGATTGTCCCCTGAGGAAAACCCAAAGACATGTATGCATTGATGTGGTATAGACGTATATATATGTGCCTTTTCTTCTTGTGACACTTCAAACTGAAGCTGGTAACATAACACAACCACTAGTGTATTGTTACAAGGCAGACAATGAACATTGACATGTGTGATTGTCTGAGTGAACGTACGATCAACTTCAAAAAGCACAGCACAGACCCCGAGATGGTCTCATTAGGCGGAACCATGTACCAAAAATAAACAGATTATTTGGAATGTTTCAAAATATGAATTATTATCTGGGTATGATGTTTGGCTGATACTGAAAATAGACTTTTTGATCATTAACATCAAGCTTTTACACTTAGGCCAGTTTTGTTTTGTTGTTAGCGGCTAAATGAGCTCATCTGACAAACTATGAAAAATGAAGCCCTGTGGAGCTGTTAGGGCAACACATACTTTTTATGCATCACACTTATGAATTAGGTTATTATGCAGAGTTGATCTTTTAAAATTTTAAATATACATACAAATATCTCTTTTTTTTAGCTGAAATGAATGTAAAAACTTAACAAACATTTACACAAAAACCAGGGCAGAGAGGCATGGCCTTTTAGAACACCTTTGTACAAATACTCCCTTTCAAAGATATGCGTACCTGAAGAGTGCACGAACCTTTAGCAACCACCCCGGCCTCATGAATGATGAGTGAAAGTACAACTCATAAATCCTGCATTGATTGCTTACATAAACACAGAGATCCAGGAACAGATTTCTGTTTCTAATCCCAACCCACACAAATTATGAAATTGTCTTGCTCTTCTTTTCTCCCTGGGGCAGTGGCACCATGTCGTAAACGGAACCACACCACCATTTATTATGACTCCGGTAAAAAGAGGCTCTAAACCTAAGCCAGTCATAACTGGTCCTTTCTTGAAAAAAAAAAAAAGAAAGAAAAAACAAGAGAGGTCAAACCTTTTAGTTCAGTATTGGTTGGATGTAGAATGTTGGACAATATAATATAAATTTGGCAGATCTGATATCTGCCGCCATCTAGTGGCATAACTGGAGTTACTGTAGATTAATTGTAATGCATCAAACAAAAGGATTGACGTCTTTACCATCCCTGGTATCAATGTTTGATGGGCCGGATTAGAAAGACCAGTGGGCCGCCGCTGGCCCGCGGGCCATAGTTTGCCCACATCTGCTCTAAGGCATCACAAAGATTCAGTAAAATACAGTAGAAAATCTACTTGTTGCTGAGTTCTCAAAACCAAAACATTTATTTTAGAACCTGGTTGAGGACATTTGGGACACCTTTGGACATGTATCTCTGGTGAAGTTGTGTCTATCAGAACAATTTACAACACAATATTTTATAACGTGACCCCTGCACGTGAGAGGTCAAGGCTGGTTTTGCAGAGTGGTTGTACTTTACGATGTAGTGTAACCTTCTTTGTTTCATCACATAAAACGACTTGTATTCACTGGGCACTCTGGTGTCTCTAAGGTTATTATGAGTAAATGGAGACTTCAGGTTCTTCAGAGACCACCAGGCTCCATCCGAAAAAACCCAGGTGAAGTCAGCTGCCCCAGGGTTGACTGTCACCGTGGGTCTTTGTCCTCGCCCATCAACAGCTTCACCACAATTACACACTGTCAAGTCCATTTTATTTTCTCAGGGTGACATAATACTCTAGGGAGACAACATACAGACGTCTTTAATGTCTTGAAGCTGTAAGAGGTGTTACGTATCAGTAAATCAGTATCTACAGGAAGTAATTCAGAATGTATTCATATGCCATCATGGACATACTATAGGTGTGAACCAATACTTCCGCAGAGCCTCGGAGCAAAAAATAGTCCGTCAAAGTTCAAAATATTGTTTTTCACTCCAAGTCCACCTTTGTCAAGGAGACACGTGCTGTTTATGATGGTTCTTATAAGCTTACACCAGGACAGAGGAGGAGAAAAGGTTCAGAGTAAAGACCTTATTTCAAACATTCTTATATTAAAGTCAATTTCTGACCCTTCTTAAATTTCTATTAGAAAAGCTGGAGTTTGGATTTTCTTCAATGTTTTTAGATTAAAGATGTCCGATAGTAACTTTTTGCTAATATTCAATATGGCGATATTGTCCAAACACTTAATATCAGATTCCAATATCGAGTGATACCGAAATATGCCTGGTAATATTTATTTATTTATCTGTACAAATAATTGTATTGAATTGCTGGCCATAGCATTCTGCATTCAATCCCCTGATTATAAAAATTGATTAATAAAATGGGCTACAATGCTGCCATCTAGTGTCTTTTACTTTCATATACAGCTGTTTTTCCCCAAACATCTCATAATTTGGACATTAGAATTCAGTAATCCTTTAAAAAAAAACAAATTACTGAATTCTCAGTTATAATTTCCCATTTGTCCTCAATCTCTTTCAAGCACGTTGTAGTTTGTCAGCCTTTCTTGTTGTTTGTTGCTATTCAGGTCCTCAATATGAAATGGAGGACCGTGATGATTATGAATAATGTGTCTGAACATAATTACTCTCCACCTCTGTGGGAATAACACCACACTGCTGTAGGCAAATATCTTCATATTCAATCATCTATTTCCCCTGGAGTAAAGCACGGTGGGTGGTTATCCAGGCAGTACCAGAGTTGTCTTCGCAATTTTGGGAGGAGGAAACCCTCAGTATCAACAGGAAAGAGGAAGAAACCCATTTGCTCCATGACCATTCCGTTGTTTATTTAGTCCTTTGGTCTGTTTATCCAGCATCTCAATAGGTGCTTCTCTGCACGTGCACACTCTCCACGACTGTCAGCGGAATCCTATAAAAGCTGTTCAGTTTTCCTCTCCGGTGACGATCACTCCAGAGAGAAGACGCTGACCTACATTTGACAAGACAACAAATCTTACTCAGTTGCATAGACAACTGCATATTGTGTCAGATTATATTGTATTGAGATCATCGTGTAGCAGCACAGGTGCCTCTAATATATACAGGCAATACAAGGCAGTGAAGAGGGGCAGTTAAAGAGGATCCAATCCATTCTGTCACCACCCTGGAAGGCAGCATAAATCTGGACACGGTCCACTCCTCCTCTGCCAGACAGAGATTTACTACACCCGGCTTCCTCACTTATTCTTTACTGTCTCCCCTTTTCCTTTATTGTCACACATTCACCACTTCTCCTCTCAGTTCCCTTTCCTTCCCATGGTTCCTTCTCTTCATCTGTGCATGTTTTCCTTTTATATTCCAATGCCACTAGGGGTTCAAGCAGCAGCCATTTCCTAATTGTGACCCAGACACACACTGACACAGCAGTGTGTGCAGGTTTTAATTAAAACCTCTCTGATTCACAGCTAACAGACGGGCTGCAAATGAAGGCAGGGGAATGAGGTAGAACCAAACAGAGAGAACCAAAAATCGTTGTTTCTGGGGCATATTCACAACAATTAGCAAACAAAGGTTTATCGTTATAGGTTAAAAATATCTACAGTTGGGACTGTGGCTCCCTTTTAATAGTTTTACATTTACATGTAGTTATTGCCTTGGCCCCATTTAATTATTGTGTGACCTAACATTAATATCATCATCGGTATT